GTGGATACACCGCGTCCCGCCAGAACGCACACGTTCCGCGAGCAAACGGCAGCGCCGAAAAAACAGAACAATGGCCGCACCCAACAACGCTGGCGCCCTCCGCCTCGAGTTAATCATGTCATCATCGTGCGCTCTGTAGCGTGTAAGTTCCAAACTTACGCTTGAAATTTCTTTGGATTTATGTCTTTGTGCTTTGGCAGCGATGTATTCATGACTATACTGTGCTTTTTTCACGAACCACAGTCAAGTACTTGGCATGTTAGACTAAGCAGGCCTGGTTGAGAAAAAACAGCTTATCTGGCCAGTAACGACAGAGCCTACCTGATGCGTTATCCTGATCGTGATATGGCATCAAGTGATAGCTAGCTTAATTACACTATTCATGTGTTGCTGTGAGCGGTCTGGGTGAGCATCAAGGGCAAGTTCGTATCGAAGCGGTTTGTCGACTTGGCGTGGGCGCTGCCATGTTGATTTTTAGCCGCATCTACCACATGTTACTGATACATCAATTAAAAAAAACACGACGTAAATGCGATGACGAATAAACATATTAGTTATTGATGCGAAGATGTTAAATGAGGGCAAATGTCTCAACTTTGCCAATTGAGAGGCAATTACATCTGGAACTGTGTTTTCCTGCGCAAGCATGTGGCTTGCTTACACTCCATAGTTATGGCAGTGCAGAATGGTAGTGGGGAGATAGAGTATAAATCTACATAAACCTAATATATACGGGCCCCTAGCATCTCGCCTCCATCGAAACGCGGTCGCGGCACACGGTAATGGATGCCGTGACTTTCTGACCAGCAGCAGCTAGAGGGCCTTACATTGTGTTTCCAAAATGTAATAGTTGCAGCTTTTTATCGACCCGCACCCACTGGGTATAAATTTGAATTTTTCGCTTCTATAAAATGCTATTGCGCAAACTCCATTTGATGCGAAGTCCATTTCTTATCATGGGCGATGTAAATGTTGACGCGCACAGTAGGGATGCATCGTGTGAACAGCTGGAAACTATTCTATAGACTCATTTGTTGTTCGAATGTTATCACACAGCCCACTAGTTTTACAAATCATTGTGCCACTTTACTTGATAGCAGTATCACTAACGTCCCCAGTTATAACTGCACCAGTGGTATGATTCATTAGACGTGAATGATCACCTGCCTATTTTTACATTTTTATCACTTGACAGTGTGAGGCGGGACTCCGAAAAAAAAATTGCCCGCAGCTTCCCTCGGGGGAACACTGAGGAGGATGCGGAGCATATAATTGGTTAACGGGGTGTTAAAGTGCGACTTACTTGGGTCGATGGCTAAATTGGTTAACGTGGTTGTGAAATGGGGTGTTAAATTGCGACTTACTTGGGTCGATGGCTAAATTGGTTAACGTGGTTGTAGGAGGGGGTGTTAAATGAGTGAACACGTACACACGTATGCGAAAGGGCGGCGCTGGTCGAAGGGACGTCGATCATTGTATTTGTGGATTCGTTGGAATTCATTTCACCGCGACCTTGGACGTCGACGCGCCGTACAAACCAACCGACGAGCGGCAACTGAGCGAGCGAGCGCCGACCTTGAGTATATATACAGCGCGACGGCGCATGCACTGTCAGCTGTCGAATGTTCGAGAAGGGGGAGAAGCGCAACGGCGCATGCGCGCGCGTCAGCTGCCGATGTTCTCGAAGCGCGACGGCGCATGCGCGCGCGTCAGCTGCCAATGTTCTCGAAGCGTGACGGCGCATGCGCGCTACATTATACAGCTAGCGAATGTTCGTGAAGAGGAGAAGCGCACGCGGTGTGTAGAGGAGGAAGGGTGCACAGATGGTGGAGGAGTGAAGCGCGCGCGGTGTGTAGAGGAGGAAGGGATGCACAGATGGTGGAAGAAGGAGGAGGAAGCTTGCGGACGGCGCTGCAATACAAGCCTCGAGTATTAGATGCTCCGCATCTAAAACGTCGTGCTATCGTAAAATGAAGTCGCATCAACTCAATGAATTTCATTGTACGCTGGAAACTGCCGAATGGAACGTCATTTATGGAGAAAGTGGCCCCGATAGAGCATACCATCTTTTTTATCAAGCACTTAAGGTCATGTATGATCAATACTTTCAACTTGTTCCATCGCACACTAAAAAAAAAACAAATTCGTACCCCCTGTATCAGTTTATGTTGGTACAAACGTATAAAACATAAAAGCAGAATGTATCACGCATTTGTACAGACCCGTGACACTGCTGTGCTAAGTGAATTAAAAAAATACCAAAATAAGTTGAATGCCGATTCGAAAAAAAAAGCAAAGACCTGCTACTATCAAATCCTTTTGGCAAGTATCATTGGAGAACCTAAAAAGCTTTGTACGAAGTAATTAGTTTATCTAACAACTAGAAAATAAAACGTCCTATTAGCATTCTAGCTTTTTTTTTTGGTAAGACAGAAGTTGAGGCACTTCCAGAAATGCATGAGTACTTCACTAACGTGGGTGATTTTAAAACAAACCTCAGTTCTGAAACACGTCCTGCTTTCGTGCTTTAACGCGAAAGCTTGATACACTCAATTAGTTTATTTCCTACAAGCCCACAAGAGGTGGAAAAGCTATTGGGAAATATTCGACACAATCTTTCAGAGGGAATTGATGATGGCCCTGCCCATTAAGTATGTAGCAGTTTCTATATCTTTACCATTAGCACATATTATTAAAAAGATTTTTCAAACTGGAATCTTCCCTTGAGGTCTAAAAGTTGCTCGCATATGTCCAGTATAGAAGGAAGGTTCTGTTGGTGACATATCTAAAAACAGGCCGATTTCAGTGCTGCCCGTGTTATCTAAAGTATTTGAAAATGTCATTAACACACGACTCGTCCATTTCGTAAATAAGCGCCACCTAATATATGACGCGCAGTGGGGTTTCCAGGAAAGTAAAACCACTGAGAAAACCTTATTGCGTGTTAAGAATAAAATACTGTTCCATATCAAAAACAAATTGTACAGTATAGGTCTTTTCATTGACCTAAGAAAAGCGTCTTACTACGTTAATGCCGACGTGTTGTTAATGAAACTTTGTCATTATGGCATCCGCGGCGTCGCCTTAGATTTTTTAAAGAGTTATCTTTCTTGCAGAAAGCGATGCGTAAAAAATAGGTGATGTTATCTCTCCTACTACCGCAATAAAACAAGGAGTGCCCCAGGGGTTGATTCTTGGGCCATTATTATTCATGTTATATGTAAACGACCTATTTCACATTCCCAACTTTTCAAAATTGGTAATGTTTGCAGATGAAACGATTTTTTTCCACGGATACCCTTATTCATCTTCCGAAAATGATAAATTAATATCATATCCTGCTTGAAGGTTGGCATCAGGCAGATAAATTAGCCTTAAATATAAAAAAAACGAATTACGTCTTATTGAAGCCAACTGGCAAACCTTGTGACATTGAAATTACGTTAAAAATTGTAAGACACTATTTTACAACGCGTAAAAACTAAAAAACAATTCTTAGGTGTGCGGTTTAAAAAAAGTATGTCCTGGAACACACACATGAAGAAACTTACCTCAAAAATAAGTAGAGCAGTTGGTATGTTATTCAAATGATCAGATATCATTCATTACACTGGTGATATATTATGCTAATGTATATTCCCGCTTATCATACTGTACACTAGTTTGGGGCATCCCAACGACGACCAATATTAATAAGCTGGAGATAATGAAAAATAAAGTGCTCAGGCTATTTGAAAATATGTTGGTGAACTGAAAGCCCCAGAAACCAATCCTTTATTTAATAAGCATAATGTGCTAAAAGCGAGTAAATTATATTAATAAACACTTCTTCTGCACGTATATAAACATAATGTGTCAAACGAGACACATCAAACATTTGGATGGTGTCCACTACGTAAAAAACAGATACTAATACCACGAAAGGCCACAATAACGTACGGAATGTCGACCCTAGCTTGTCAGATACCCGCCTTGTTTAATCGTGTGTCTTCCCAAGTCACCTTTGATGTTCAATTACCTAAATTGAAAGAGCAAATAAGATTTTTCCTTGTGAATGATTCTCCAGCCAATAGAACATAAGCTAATTTATGTCACTACCCCATCGTTTTCGCGTTGTATCTTTTATGCAATTGGAGTGACGTATGTGTACATATATAAACGTGTATTATTTTAATATGGTTTATTTTTTGTACTTTGATTGTGTTTCTTCATGTATGTAGGGTACATTTACCTGTGTTAGTGATTATTTATTTTATATTTTTTCAAGTTATCTCTGGCTTAGTATTGTAAGCTATGTTTGATTGATACGTTGGGTTTAACGTTCCGAAGCTACAATATGATTATGATAGACGCCATAATGGAGGGCTTCGGAAATTTCGACCACCTGGGGTTCTTTAAAGTGCCCCCGAATCTGAGCACACGGGCCTACACCATTTCCGCCTCCATCGGAAATGCAGCCACCGCAGCCGGGATTCGATCCCGCGACCTGCGGGTCAGCCGAGTACCTTAGCCACTAGACCACCATGGTGGGGCGAGCTATGTTCATAATCAAGTTATTATCGCTTTTTTATGTGACAATTTATTCGCTGCTGCCTGTAAGGTTCTTATGATCCCTTCAAGCTGTTTTTGACAGCTTTTTGCCTGAGGGCACCCCCAAAATTTTGTTTTGAAAAATAAAGTTCAAACGTTCCATAACCACCACGGCGGCTTAGCGTTTGTGAAGAGCGGTCCTGTACAAATTATGCTGTTAGTGTCATAATCCATGCAGCATTAAGCAATTTCTGACGTGACTACGCACCACATTAACTGTGTTTGCAGCATTACTGTAGCTTTATCTGTAAAGTTGGCTTGGATGGGCACACTAAGAAAACGTAAAAACAATATATTGTTAATAGATTGTTATTAGGTTTCCTTAGTGGGCCCACTCTCGCGAATAAATTCGGCTATATTGAGAAGTAGACAAGCTAGTCTAGCACCAACTGTAAGTATGAGCCACTCGCCTGCCAAGGCATGTCAGAGGTGATGTTCACTGAGCGGCCATTCCACCAGACGCTCTCTTCAGTTTCCAAAGATAGGAGGGCATTACCGAGGCCCTGTGCGTGAATGAACCTGCACGAGGTCAAGAGTACACACACAGTATATATGTTTTACAGCATTTGACGGCATAACAGTGAGGAGGATGGGGAGCTACAAGGCATTCCATACTATACATATGAGGGAACGAGTTTCATTCTAGCTTCTGATGTCCGATTGGGAATGAATGGCAATGGCCGCTTTAATGCATTTTGTCCCGTTGTTTCAGTGCTATACTATAGATTGCTTAATCACTGTACAAAGTTTCTTTTTTTTGCGGTGAAAGTCCCAATACCTTGCATTATGCCATGCTAATGTACCATGTCCTTAGCTTCTACCACTTAAACATTTACACCGCGTTCCTCCTTTTCCTGAACCATGCATGAAGTTCAACAGTGTTTAGTCAGTTACAGCTTACAAGACTAGAATGCGTATAATTGGTTTGCTGAACGGGCCTTCCTTCTGTTTTAAAGCGCATCAAAACTAGCTAAAGCAGAGAAGCATAAACTTTAATAATACATGCTGCTGTTACCTGCCGGATCTCTGTAAGGTCCTACATTGCAAAATACTCGCAGGAGCACCTTGAAATCTACCTTTTTTTCATGATGCCATGGCACATGAGCCTATCGTTTAGCGGAAAAGGCACGAAATGTTTGGTATGGTCTCCGCAAAGCTATCGATCTCAGAGACTTTCATTCTGGTGATCCCGGTTGTGCATGATCGCCGCACGAATGTCTACCCCCCAAAGAACACCTACCAAAATAGCAGAGGGTTGCAACATTATGCTGCAACCTTATAGATGTGTTACTAATACAATTGCACCCAATTGTATCGGTGATACATCTATAATGTTGCATTCCACAGAAATGTGTTTTTATAGCTTATTACCTTGACCATGACGCTGTATGACGTTGGTTGGCTGGGCACGCATGCGCGGTATTGTCTTCTTTTTTTCCTGTGCGTTTCTTAGACTCCCAATAAACAGTTGCTTGTTGGTGCTGTTCCTTTTTCTCTTCTGCTTTTCCCATTGCACAGAATGTTATAAATACGAAGCACCTTTTTGACTAGCCTGTCTAACGCTGTCCCGCCGTCCGCACCGCTCCCCTCGCCGTATGTGTTGGAGCGGTGCCAACTAGCTCACGCCCTCCTAGCAGCGCGCTGTGACGTCTCTCTCCCTCGCCTGCCAAACGCTCACCGCATGTCAGCTCGCTCACTTCACACTCTGCACCGCTCACAACGATCGAGCCCACTCCTCACGTAGGCCTCATCTCACCCGCGCCACCTCTCTCCAACTGTCGGCGAGAAGCCGCGAGCCGGCGGGTGCGCGCGCCTCGAGAATCTCGCGGCGCCGACAATGTGAACAGCGCACGCTGCTTGCCGCGCGATTACGCCGATGGGCGGGACGGCTTCGCGGTATTCTTCCCGATAGTGTGCGCGTAGCTTTCCCAGCTATCACCGGCGTTGCGAGGGTTAGCGAAGCCGATTGCGTTTGCGCATGGCGACGTCAACACCGACAGAGCGCGAGCCAGGGAAGCCGAACGCAAGTGTCAGCAGTGGAAGACCAGCGACAACGACGAGGTGCGAGTCAAGAACACCGATTGCGCTCGATAATACAGATGGCGTGCGGGTAACATCGACGAGACGTGAGCAGAGGAAGCCGAGCGCAAGCGTCTTCAGCGTGCCCCAACTCCCGTGTCATCGCGTTTCAAAGAAACGTTTATTAGAGTAAATGCTACACCGAGTTGTGCTTCGAACCGTTCTTCCATCACCCGCTTCGACGCCCGTTTCAACCGGGTCAGCGTCGTGCGCACCGCTGCTGCTTCGCATCCCATCAGGGTTTTCTTCGGGGAGATGGTCTATAGTATTTTGCGCCTCAGTCATCTGCACCTAGACAGAGAGTAGTCCAGGAAAATGGTAACGGTAGATTAATGTGTACTGTTAGTGTTTCTACAAGAAGTATACGGGTTATATGACAATGCACGCCCACAACGTTTTCCTGTCGAAAACACTGCAGCAGTGTCTGGTAATTATCGTGATTACAATAGCATTTGAAGGATATGAAATGTAGTACGGTATAAATTTCACTCGTAAAGTAAATTCTCTTTTGGAGCTATGATCAATGAGACATTTGCCATACTATAATCACCATGTTGTAGCTCACCTGTAGACACTTAGCTCACTCTGATCTCCATGGGCGCGCCACCAGAACGTTAAACAGGCATTCGACGTTGCATTACGAACAGGAAGATGAATCCTTGCGATGGAGTTACGGCTCTGCCTCAGGGACGTTGTGTTCAAGTACAGAAAATGACCTTGAGAAAAAGCGCAAAGGGTGTGGAATGTCACGGTCAATGTTTTTTTTTGCCTGCGCTCAATGTTAGTGAATCAAATAGCAGCTGACCAAATATGTGCGGCCAGTATAAGGAGAAAAAAATGACGCATATTCAAAAGCTATTGCAAATGAATTCGCATGCTCGTTGTCTCTTTTTTTCTTACAGTGAGTTTTGATCTTGATATTAACAAATACCTTTAAACTTTTATTTGCGCACAACTTACCCGAGAACTATAGCTAAACCCTTTGTCTTTGATTGCAGAGTTTCCAATCACTGCCTCAAATATCACCGTTGTAGCTGGATTGGTAAAGCATCGGACACGTTTATCTTGTGGTTTTAGATTACTTCTCTACTGACAGCAGGCTTTTATTTTTTGTTCACTTTCATTGCCTTGCAAATATGCCATAATTATTGCACCATAGTTAAAACATTAAATAACGTTCATGCGATAGCACAAAGAACCACATGGACGGTGAAAGAGCAAGATGGGACACAACACTAATGGCAAACTTGGCGGTGGCGTTGACTTGCTTTTTTGCCGTCCATGTGGTTCTCTGCGCTGCTGCGTGAACTGCGCACTACCAGCTGTCCTATCGGCCTGTCCAAATAATCTCCCCTATATCATATTTGGCTTCTTAGGTTGTGTCTAACAAAGAAATGAACTCCCAGATCCTTGCATTTCCCCTCTTTCTTTTATCGTAAGCGCACATGACCATGCGTTTATGGACTACTTTTCTTTGATCATCGATTATTGCACTTGGTATAGCTACGCCACCCTGTAAATTTACAGTGACAGGAACGTTGCGCCTGATTTATGTTGCACTCCTGGCATCGGAGATTTCGAGGTTCGATTAGTCTTCAAAGTTATTTCGTTTGTGAAGCTTTACTGGCACCACATATACGCGCCAACGTCTCAATCTTGAGTAAATTGTGAAAAACGCAAGAGCTTGAAAGTTTTACATACTTTGCAACCCTAAGAATGCTATCTATTTCGTCCAGACATCTCTTCTTACCAAACGTGCTTCGCAAAGTGTGATCGGTGACAGCGAGCTCCGAACCCTGATGCACAGTCCACTCCCGAACGTTACTGATGTCTCGAGTGTGGCCACAATCGACGCTACCTTCAAAAGTGCAGAGAGCTGAAAAAAATAATAAACAGGTTTACAAAGACCACGTTCAAGGTTGCAATAAGGTACGGAGGACATGAAATGTGAGAAAACACGGGCGGAGCCATGATCACCGTATAGTGTCTTACCTTTATTAATTTTTATTTATTTTTATTTATTTTACAATACTGCTAACTCCGGGTAGAGTCGTTGCAGAGTGGAATTACAATTAATAATGACGCATAGATCATTTTAGGGAAAACAGTAGTGAATAATGAAGACAGTATAAAGCGAAGAATTAACATAATTTGTGAAGAGAAACAAGAGCAAACGTTTATTGACAAAAAGAAGCAAAAAAAGACCAAAAACAAAGACAGACAACCCATTCAAGTGGAAATAGAAAGTGATAGGCATGTAATGCATAAGAATGAAGCTTCACATAATCAACTGGCAAGTAAGAGTCAAACAATTCTACGCTTCTCGTTTCAACGGTGCGTGCATCTAGGGAATTGCACTCCATAATTGTTCGCGGAAAAAAAGAATACTTAAAAACATTAATAGCCGTTTGATATGGCGTTATTGAATAACAATGTCGCAGTGAGGTATCGTAACCTGTTGAGAAATTCACGTGATTGAATATACTGCCATTGAGATGACTTCTAACTTTTTTAAACATAAAACGTAATCGTGCGATTTTATTCCTCTCCGAAGTGTGCTTCAGATCAGCCTTAGCCACTAAGCCTGAGACCGACATATAAAGTGTACTTATATGTATAGTGTACATATATAGTGTATAGCGTTCGATTTTGTGTGTGACTCAGGATTACACTACAGTTTTCCTTTTCGCGCTTTAGGATGTACCAGACACCACAGATGTGCCCAGTAGACCTTTCCCTGCCACAGTGTGACGTCACTGTAAGTACCACGCCCACCATTCCTTCCCTCGGCGCAGGTGCTGGTTGGCAAGGAAGTTCCGCTGATGGGATCTTTCTGCACAGCAAGGCCACGTGCGTGCATTCCTTCGTCAGACTTTTCTGCGAATTGTTACTCTTTTAAAGACCCCAAGAGAAATGGTCTTTGCATATAAGGCATGATTCTTTTGGGTAGGCATGTGGCGATTTGCTCGTCGTAGATCGCACCCCTTAAAAATATATTCTTCTTGATTGATTGATTGATTGATTGAGTGATTCATTGATTGATTGATGTGTGAGGTTTGACGTCCCAAAACTACCATATCATTATGAGAGACGCCGTATGGAGGGCTCCAGAAATTTCGACCACTTGGCGTTCTTTAACGTTTCCTCTTCGAAAGTGAACGTTCTGCATGTTAACATTGACTGGTGGTTTGAAAAATGTTGACATGACATGGACGCAAATGTACTAAATTTCTGTCGCGACATGTGCACTGCAGTTTTAAACGAGGTATATCATTGGCGGCAGCGTCGTTTTGAGCTGCCGTGCGCGAGTTCACGGACAAGATTCGCACTCACTGCGCAAAATTCTTAGTGGAGATGAATGGCGGAAAAACATAAAAACAAAAACAAGAAAAAACAAACAAACAATGAAACACATCTTACCGTCCTTTAGGCGGAGGTTAATATATTCTCGTGAAAATTGAAGCGAAGTTCTCGTCAATATTTCTCATAGAGCACTAAAACTTTATACGACTTTAAAACCGATCGCCTAAATAAATTTCCACATTCCCTATCAAGCTTTGTTATCATCCCGTTCTACCGTGTCAGCAATACTCAGTACAAACCGTGACTGCAGTGTTCGAGAAGCTTCAGAACTGTAGTAGATTGTTTTTTTTAATTAGGCCAACTTCGCCAATATTACAGATTATTCTGGAACCTCCGTGGCCACTATAGTGAGAATGCCAGAATATTCGACGGCCACCACGTCACTGCTCTCATCGATACTTGAGCCGACTATTCCGTCGTGAGTGGCCTTTTCAAGACGAATTGATTGATATGTGGAGTTTAATGTCCCAAAACCACTATATGATTATGAGAGACGCCGCAGTGGAGGGCTTCGGAAATTTCGACCACTGGGGGTTCTTTAACGTGCACCCTAATTTGAGCACACGGGCCTACAGCATTTTCGCCTCCACCGAAAATGCAGCCGCCGACGCCGGTATTTGATCCCGTGACCAGCGGGTGAGCAGCCGAGTACCTTAGCCACTAAAGCACCGCGGCGGGGCTTTCGAGACGAAGTTGAAGAAAGTGAAGACTGCAAGGCAAGACACTGAATATAGGGCCGATGGAGGTCACTTAATAACGCCGACTGTAGTCTGCACAGCAAAAGTCACCATGAATAAGCAGGCTTATCCTGCGTGCTTTGCAATACTACAACATTGCTGCAGGGATGTGATACTTGGGATACACTTACTAAGTCAAAATGGCACTGTCATTGACCTGAGGTCTGAGACAATCACACTAACATCAGACAACATGCTGCGGACCGCCAAAACACCAAGGAATCACGCATTGAATGTTATGGAAGATGAAGTCAACATTCGGACTTGCTCAAACGTTATTGTTTGCGTCGGCCCCGAAACACCAACAGATTTCGAAGGTGTCATAGAGAGCAACAGGCACTTGTTCCTTAGCCTCCAGATTTGCATTGCAAGAGGTATCACCGAACTGAGTCATAGGTAAGCGAAGGTAATGGTGTCCAACTTTTGCCATGAATACAGGTACCTTAACAAAGGTACGAAAGTTGCCTGCATTGACAATATTATGGAATTCACCAATGCTTTCACCCTCGCAGATACTACAGAACCTACACCGAGCAACCAAGCTCTGCGTTCAGCTTTCGATGTCAATCCGAGCCTTCCGAAACATAAGCTAGAAGAGTAAGGCCCTGCTCATATAATACAAGGACTGTTCTTTGGCGTCAGCGAAAATTCGGCACACCCCAGTCGCGAAACATCGCATCATAACAGAGGGAAGTGCCAAACCGCTATGCCAGAGCCCGTACAGAGTTTCGGCGCGAGAACGCGAGGCCGTGAAAAGACAAGTCGACAAATTGCTTCATTATGACCGTCATCCAGCCGTCTCAGAGCCCGTGGGCGTCACAGGTGGGGTTAGGGAAGGAAAAAGACAGAACTTTACGGTTCTCTGTAAATTACCGCAACCTGAAGAAAATCACAAAAAAAGATGTTTAAGCTCTCCCACGAATAGACGACGCCCTGGATTGACGACACAATACGAAGTATTTCTCGTCGATGGACCTCAAGACTGGCTGTTAACAAATCGAAGTCGACGAGAGAGACCGAGTGAAAACGGTGTTTAAAATCGTAGAGCCTCTTTGAGTTCAAGGTCATGCCCTTCGGTATTTGCTCGGCACCTGCGACTTTTAAACGCGTTATGGATATACTGCTGGCAGGATAGAAGTGGTATACTTTTCTCGTGTACTTGAACGACGTCGTCGTGTTTTGACGTGAATTCGCTTGAATGGACGTGACCATCGTCTACAAGTCTGAAAAAAAAAACAACACTCTGACACCAACTGCCTATCTCATCTTTCTGTCGCCCCACTGTCGCGCATGAGCTGGATGAGGATGGCTTCTTGGGAACGACAACTGCTGACGACTTCGTCGAGCAACAGCGAGCTGGCGCAAAACTCTGGAGCCTGGTCTCGAGGGTAACAGTACGACTGTTCCGAATGTTTTCTAGAGAGGACTGTAGTCGTTGTTAGCACGAAATCGAAGAACTTTTCACCCATTTGAGCCAACCACTTTCACATGGTTCCTTCAGCAGTGAAACCAAAAGTCTTTGAGGCCCTACGCGATGACCGGATGGCTGGACACTTTGGTGTTTCCCGTGCGCTCGCAAGGATGCAAGAAAAGTACTACTGACTACGACTTGCCGCCGAGTCATTCGTTACGTAAGGATCTGCCGAGACTGTCAGCGACGAAAGACACCGCTGACTAGGCCAGCCGGACTTCTCCAGCCCATCGAGCCAACTCGCTGGCTGTTAAAGCAAATCAGCATGTACTAACTGGGGCTGTTTCCGATGCCGATTTCAGCTACAAATAGATCGTCGTACCTACTTACTACCTCACGTGCTACCCCGAGACAAGGGCTCAGCTCAAAGGCAGTGCCACCGAGGTAGCAAAGTTCTTCGTCGAGAACATCACCCTGCGTCACGGAGCTCCACAGGTCCTCATTACTGACAGAGGTATGGCCCTCATGGCAGACCTAACTCAGGCTATCCTGAGGTACAGCCAGACAAGCCATCACCGTACCACCACCTACCATTCACAGACCAATGGCCTCACCAAGCGTTTTAATGAAACTATCGCCGACATGCTGGCCATGTACGTCGACGTTGAACACAAGACGTGGGATGCGATACTTTTGTACGTGGCCCTCGCGTACAACACTGCCGAGAAAGAAATGACGCATATGACGCCGTACAAGTTGGTGTATGAAAGGATCCCGGCCAAGACGCTTGATACCAAGTTACCCAACGTCATCGACGAATAAAACATCGACATAACTGTCTCCCTCCAGCGCGCCGAAGAAGCTCAACAACTCGTCCGCCTCCGCATCAAAAACCAAGAGATGACCGACAGTCGCCATTACAATATTCGACGAAGTTTCATGGAATACCGGCCTGGTGACCGTCTTTGGGTGTGGACGCTGATACGCCGACATGGACTCAGTGAAAAACTTATGAAACTCTACTTCGGGCAGTACACGGTAGTTCGATATCTCGGTACACTCGACTACGAGGTGGTTCCCGACGGCATTACAAACGCTCAATGGCTTTGTACATGGCCTGAAGTCTTCCATGTCGTGCGCCTCAAGCCATTTCATGCGCGAACCTGAGGACTGTATTTTCTGGTTGTTGCTATGCTTTGTTTGTACTTACTGTTTATTTTCTTACTGTATTGTTGTGCTTTCATCTTCCGTTTAAGTACTGGGAGGATACCTTTTTCACAGGAGAGGAATGCCCCATTCCCTCCTCAAGTTTTGCTATCGCCTTGTTTCACTATCGATAATTCTCAGCACAAACCGTGCCTGCAGTGTTCGAGAAGCTTCAGGACTGTAGTAGATTGTTTTGTTGATATTACACCCACTTTGCGAACATTAGAGATTATTCTGGAAATTACGTAGCCGCTAGTGATAATGCCAGGGTGTTCTACGGCACGTGTGGAAATTCCGATGAGCTTCACAGCTTGTCAGTTGATCGATGGCTGACGCTGTGTTTGCCGCTATCTGTGCGAGTGGGTGTCACTGTAATCGGACCTTCAGTTTACGTGCCATGAGTTCGGCCAACTAAACAGCTTCATCTTGTACCTACAGTATGCTCCCTTCGTCTAAGCCACGATCCTGTGACAATATACATAATCTTTTGTTGAGTTACCTTGCTGTATCTGACACTAACGACGTAATTGCATATTTAAATTTTCCCTTATACCTGATACACAAAATTGTGATGAGCATCGTCTATTCGTAAAGATAGAGCCGTAAGGGTACGAAGATCACGTGAAACAAGAATATCCGCTGTTTACACGAAGACATATGAAGTCTCCGATAATACGAGTTATACTTTTATTGGGATTGCGTATTTGCCGAGGCGAAGTATATATGCAGCTTCGGCAATGCCGAACATGCTTATAGTTCAAGGATTGTCGTATCTTTCAGCCTTCAGGATGCAAAAAAAATGCTTAATCGTGAAGTTCTGTTGACAACCTGTTGCTGCCACTAGCCCTTAACGAGTGCCAATGTTTTCGCAAACAAGATGCATTGTTTTTCTTACTACCAGCCCCACACACAATTTTCTCAGTTTCACCGTCCGTAAAGGTGAACTAATATTGTTGATGCCTTTCAATGCACACGCCACAATCAACACTGCACATTTTCGCAGACGATGCTGCTGCTCCTTGCACAAGCCGCCATGGGTGTTCATTTCTCCAAGATAAACAGCCAGCCAGCGTGGCAAATATTTCGTCACGTAGCTTGCCATACACCTAGATGTTGTCTGACACATACCACTGCTATTTTCGCCACAGTAAAATGAAGTTTAAGCTTCGAAACAAAGAAAAAACTTTCCACAAGCACCGCACGACTGTATTACGATGAGCCACCAGGGGGGGTGTTCTGCCAACCACACCTTGCACGTGCACCAGTGACGTCCCACTGTTTCGTACCCCGGTAGAGGTGTAATATTTTCGGTGTTTAGGAAAGTTTAGGAGTGGACATGCTATATCATCCGGCTTTGATTTGATTGATATGTGGTGTTTAACGTCCCAAAACGACCATATGATTATGAGAGACGCCGTAGTAGAGGTCTTCGGAAATTTTGACCACCTGGGGTTCTTTAACGTGCACCGAAATCTGAGCACACGAGTATCAGCCGGCTGTGAACAATGGATGATATAATAGCTGCATAAAATAAAGTGGAATTCATCGCTACAATATTGAGGCTTTTCTTTGCGTTATGGGAATCCAAAGAGCATGACACCCTCATTTTCGTAAAAGTTGCAAAAGCCATTCGGAAATACTCAGGCTATCTCTGATAAAGATCCCGTCAGTCGATTCTGGGTATAATTTATTTCTCTAGACGTAAATTTTTGAGCATTGCCTTGCTGTTGATTTGAATAGTTACTGACTGCGAACAAGTGTCCGAAGTATGGCTTAGAAAACAGCATAAGAAATGCTCACATGGTGTTGGGCAGTCACCATGCGCCATTGAGAAGTCATCCGCTGCAATTAGTCCATCATATATGCTTGTTTCAACAACAATCTGCGGTAGAAATCAAAGAGAGAAAATGGAACTGAGGCAAACCGTGAGTTAAAACGTCCACAGTATAGCAATAGGTGGTGGCTTGTCATGCAGCACACGTATGATGACGTGACTGAGCATAATTTAGCATTGTGTTCGTATGTTTGTGGTTATCTCCTCAAGAAGGAGATATGATTGTCCATATTCACGGAAAATGAATGGCTGATGAGCTATATAAATAAAATTTCACGCATACATATTGTAGAAATAATAGTACTTATTAAGCAGAGGTTGATGCACATGTGTGGTGCTGGCTAGTCCTTTTTTTCTTACGTGGCAGTTGTCATCGTAAACGTTTAAAGATCCACCAAACCGGCTGTATAAGACTTTATGTACATTAAAATTGTAAACAGCTTCCACTTTTGATTGCAGATGCCCTTAAAACACTGGCTGGACATGGCTCCATGTCATGCCTAACGTTTCCCTTGTTGCATGTCATCAGGTTTATAGTGCCCCACTGAGTCCCATGGTCATTCGGCTACATGTCTGTACTATAGTACACTATAGCCACACATGCATAATACACATAGACGCGTGCCCCCTATGCCACCCATTTTGTCGCTGACCTGATTTCTCCCTGGAGCAGCCGATCCTGCCACGTTCACCAGAGCAGGCGTCCATGCTGTCATCCTTGCCCCACGCTGAAGCCAAGAAGGGGAGCTTGACGGGGCCAATGTGACGCTTATGCTGTAACAATAGCTTCATGGTTACGTAGATGACACATGGGTTCAGAATAAATAATGAGCGTAGGATGAACGCATTCAGTAAGCAGTTAAACTTGATCTGCGCTTGTCGCAATCATTATTGTCAGCCCTGTTTTTCGTCTGCGTTGTAAACCTACATCTAGAATTACTAACAAGTCCAAGATTGATTGATATGTGGGGTTTAACGTCCCAAAACCACCATATGATTATGAGAGACGCTGTAGTGGAGGGCTCCGGAAATTTCGACCACCTGGGGTTCTTTCACGTGCACCCAAATCTGAGCACACGGGCCTACAATATTTCCACCTCCATTGGAATTTCGGAAATGCAGCCGCCGCAGCCGAGACTCGATTCCGCGACCTGCGGGTCAGCAGCCGAGTACCTTAGCCACTATAGACCACCGCGGCGGGGCAAAAAGTCTAAGAAACCGCCTCGCTGAGTGACACTTGAATTAGAACAAGAGTGCACGATAGCTCAAAAACGGGACGACGGGCAGCATGGACATGTCGTCATGCCTGGCTAGGAACGCCAAAACACAATTTGTCATGACGTCTTCTGTTGGGACAATGACCGTTTATATTGCTTGAGTGCGTTCAGTTATACTTATGCACACCGCTTAACTTGCTGTAGAATGTCCATCTCTTTACAAACTGTAGTTTTGATCACGCCTTGACCAGTGACATCGCAGCTATAATTTTACTGGTTAAATCGGAGTAAGCCCAATGTGCGTCACTGATGACGTGAGTGTGCGTTTGTGGAAGAACCTAGGTGTCCATGCCTAGAATTCGAGAACCTATGTATTAAGCAAGAAAGTTTGGTTTGGTTTGTAGTATTTAACGGCACAAAGCGACTAAGTCTATGAGAGTCGCCGTATTAGGGGCTCACGACATTTTCGGTCACCTTGAGCTTTCTAACGTGCACTGACATCGCACAGTACATTTTCTATGCAGTACATTGCACCTGTATTAAAATGTGATCGCAGTGGCCTGGATCAAACTGACGTATTTCGGGTTAGTACCATAACCATTGAGCCCGAATAAGCGATAAGTACTTGCCGTGGTAACTTAGCACGTCAGGAGTTGCGCTGTTAATCTTGAGGAGGTTGGTTGGAGGCCCGCAAAGAGGTGGGTGCATGGGCTGGTTAGTAATGCATATTTGACAAGGAATACCTTCTTAATGTGAAAAACGTTTGAAGTCTTATAACCTTTTCTTCAAGCTACCTGCGTGCTACAAAGGTTTTCGAATCCCGTCACTAGTATCGAATTTCGATGTTGACGGAATAAACCCTGTTATATTTAAATTCAGGTGTACTTGAAATGATCTCAGTTGTGAAAATTATTAAAGAGCCACCTACTAAGGCATGTCTGGCAATCATATCGTGGCTTTGCTACTTGAAGTCACCAAAATTAATCTCGCGATAAGTTACTCCACAATTTCGCTACCCCAAGGGTCACATTTATCACCACGTGGACGCTTGTGAGACAAGTGCGTAATAAATGGCATCCTAGTTGACTATGAGGAACGCTGTGTTAGACTACGTAGCTTCAGGAACCTACCCACCGAAACAGTCCCATGCATGGCAAGAAAAAGCTATCTGCATTAAAGAAGAACGTTTACAATTAACTGACAATAAGCCCGACAGACCAAAGAAGTCTTAAGAAGTTTGTTAAACATATTGTTGCTTAATTACAGCATAAGAAAATTATGATTACAATAAGCACATGCGCTGGTAAAAATACCCAACATAATACAGCAGCGTGCGGACCTCTGTTAAATTTGTCAGCTATACTTTGACTGTAGTCAGCATGCTCATCGGTATACTAGTTTTATAGTGACAATAGAAATTATAACTCTGTAGCCTAAAAGGCATGCAGTGTAAGACTGAATAGCAAGCTGACAATATAATTGACATAACTTCTAACAGGTATTAACGAATGCGGCTGGAGGACGGAAGTTTGCCTCATTGCATACACATATTGTCATATATACGTGCACGAAAGCGCATGCACCAAACAACGCACGTATACACAAAGAGAAAAGAACTCTCAAAATCATTTTCACTGTAATTTTGAGTGCAGATTGGCTTAAAAAATTGATGAAATGATTGCGCAGGTGTAATGATTTCCGCACCTGAAATCTGCCGAGTGATGTTATCAGCGGTGATCTTAATTGTTAACATTGCTCTCTGAGTCCCTCCCCCAACAACGTCTACTATCAAAAATAAAGAGTGTAAGTACCTGCTGTTGTGGTCAGTGAGCATGAAATACCAGAATGAAAAACACAGGCTGCTTGTAGACAGCTGGAGAGGCAATGGTAGGCTTTTTATGCGGTTCACGGAAGCTGCAGAACCTGTGTATCTGCTAAAAATGAACCGACCTAAATAAGAAAAAGAAAGAAAAATTTCATTGCTGAGTATACTACAGCATCAAAGTCACAAATTGGATCTTTATACGTAGTATTAACACTAGTAGCTATCTCTTTTATCATTCAAATCAGTTAAGTAATCCAAACGCACGGTGTAAGAAAAATAATTTACGTGTGGACACTCCACCCAACGGCGCATCCAGATAATAGGGAGTTTTTGAATAGGGGTCCAAAAAGTTTGGGGTCCCAAAGCCTTTTGCGTATGCACGCTTTGGGTCCAGCAGGAGTGAAGAGTTTTCGAATAGCGTCGGCGGTGCGACCCTATCCAAACCTAAACATGAGCAAACATCAACGCTGTTTAGGTTTTGCGCATGCGGAGAGGTATCGACGCTATTTCTTTGTGGCCCCAACCTTTTGGGGTCCCTGTTCGAAAACTCCCTAATGTCTGACTCTATCGCCCTCCCGGCCCCCATGTTGCGGCGCCCCCCCCCCCTCCCCCCGCAACTGCGGCCGGCGCTTGTATGACGAGCTGCGTGCGTAGCGTTCCTAACGGCGTTACGCACGTCAAAACTCAGCATTATAAGTTTAATGTTCTTTTCTTTTTATTTTACAGATTAGAAGCAATAACAGCGTTCACCGCACGTGGTGTTTTTGGGTCGCCAAAAACTTGGTATGCGTTTCTAGTTATAGTTGCTAGTTTGCGCGGTTAAAAAATACTTTGAGGTGAAAAAAAAAACACGCAAGTTTGCCTCGTTGCGCTAGGTTTATTATGCCCCCATGTCACACCTCTCCCAACGAAACTGCGGCCGGCACATGTACTAAAGCCGCAAAATGTCTGGACGTTCTCTCCGTCGTGGCGGGCGAAGAGTGTCCATACCTGAATGATTTTTTTTCACACCGTGTCCAAACGCAACAAAGAACTGTGGCCGCTAGGGCGAGCGGAGTGGCCTTCGCGCTTCCTATCACTTCATCGCAAACAAAACGATGAGAACAGCACGTACAGAGATATGAGCTGTTTCTTAATCTCTGTAGAGATAAAGAGTGCGTGACCGCACCTGTGGTCGGGCAAAGGGCAGTCTGCCGGAGCCCCGTAGCCCCCCTCGGGCAACGCTTTAGATCAACGTGTATTTCTCCCTTGCCTTCGGACATCTTTTGACTATTATGTAACAAGCGCCTTGGCACGTTTCATAAACCCTTGTTCTATCACCTATAAATAAAGTATACATTACATAAGTGTGATAGAGCTTACATAACAACGACATGAGGGTATATGAAAACTTACCGCCCCTAGTTTTCAAAATGCGGCGTGCTACAACGCCTCCGTATTGGCCCAAATTTTCTTACCACTTGAGCTCTTCGTTGAATGATCGAACAGAGGGAAAGTGGGTAGCCCTGAAGCCGGGTCACTGAGCTCCCACTGCGGACGTCCTTTTGGATTCGTGTCTGGCTTCCAGAGGCAATAGCTGCCGTTGTCAAACGAACAAGCAAGATCTGCGAGAACCCGCGTAGATGATGAGTCAAGTCAGGCGACCTTGCTGCTCTTATGAAGAGGGCTAATGATGTGCATTGTTTGAAACACCGGGGGCCAACGTGCAAAAATGAGCAACTAAGAATTATCACGGCTATAAATACCTATTTCGAAACACGGACTTCCATGTAGGACCGAAATCATCAGAAGCGAATATAACAATGCGCGACAATTTATATGCGACAAACAAGAAACTACCTGTGCGTGTCATAGCTTGTTGGTGTTTCGTACTTCCTAAACATAGCTATTAATTACAAAAAAATGAAAAAGAAAGAGGGCAACTCCGATACGTCTGTCTTACTTTTTTCCCAATCTTTTTTTGCTTACTGTGTCAATGCAAGTTGAATTTGTCCAACTCCACTCACACTATAAGGCTCGTCTAATACCATCGTCGTGTATTTAAAGCAGCCGCTCGTGTTTACACGTCGCCGCTGGCTGTGCTGCTGCCACGATATGTATTCAGAAGAAAGACAGATGGTTGCCACTTAAAGTGGGCCCAGGAAAGTTTATTGAATAGGCTCTAGGAAGGCCACTTCTGCAGCTTTCACTGTGGCTGTGCGCAGGCCTGTAGTTTTATTTGTTTGCATATATCGCATGATGTTTCCTCACTGCGCCCCACCATCTTGTGACATTTTCCTGCTCTCTTGAGTTTTTGTAGTCTCACAAGGAACTAGACGATCAGCTCAATTGCAGAATTTTCCTGCTGTCAGCGTGTGGTCTATTTCAAAGGTGGTGACGACCGTGAGCTTCGCTGAGTCAGGCAAGATGCAGCAAAAAATCATTAGGATTTGATGACTGCATAAACGTAGGAAGTTATCGTGCACAAAACAGACTACACCTGCGATAAGTATTTTCCGGGAATGAGCGGGCGCTCATATCAAAACTAAGGACGGAAGACAACGCACTGCTGATGTTATCTTTGATATATGCGGTTTAACGTCCCAAAACCACCATATTATTATGAGAGACGCCGTAGTGGAGGGCTCCGGAAATTTCGACCACCTGGGGTTCTTTAACGTGCACCCAAATCTGAGCACACGGGACTACAACATTTCCGCCTCCATCGGAAATGCAGCCGCCGCAGCCGGGATTCGATCCCGCGACCTGCGAGTGAGCAGTCGAGTACCATAGACTGCCGAAGTTTTCTTCCATTCGCACGGTTTAAAAAAAGTGTCTCTTGAGCAGGCCAACAAGTTGAGCTGAGAAATATCGTATTCTTCATAGGTAGCTTGGTAGCAAAACAAATGAAACAAATGTTGTTCATCGCTTAGAGCAGTTCTCCGCCTCAACAAACACAAAAAGTCGACGACAACTACAGTTGCCGTACAACTACAGTTGCGATGCAATATTTAGCAATGCAATCATTCACCTGGAATTCGTTCCTTTGGAGTGTCTGGGCCACCTGCAATTGAGAAACATTTATTCTTAGTTCTCTTTGTGAAATGTCAGAAAAAGACCTTCTCAATTGATCAATGAAGTGAAGTAACGTTTATAAGTCAGAAATTGAAAAAAAAAGTTTGCCTTTCACCACAACTGAGTGCATTAAAAAAAATAGAACGTCTGATTTTGTTCAATTTATTTCAAGAGGGTTTTTGAAGACAATAACGTTAAGTATTTGCATATCTGTCACACCAGAATATTATTAATAAGAAAAACAATCTTAGTTATATGTTTATTACCTTGTTGTTATTACCTTTATCAATTCGATGGCCCATACAAGACTGCATGGAGAGAAATCGATGAACAGAAGATTGATATGATACGTGTTAAATACTACAATGAAAAAGAATAAAATACTACGTAAGCGACATGATTTAGCGTACCGCCAAAGTACACAAAGTTGTAGGCACAAATATAAAAACACACTATGAAGCAGACTAATAGTTACTTTGAAGACTGCTAGGGCAGTGTGAATCTATTGACATGTATTGCGCACCATTCTCTTAATGATAAATTTACAATAGTGGAGAAATTCTAGTAAATTTTTCAAGCAAAACAAGAACAAAAAAACTGTGTTCAGGCTGAACTGGTGTACACTCAAATAGGCCTCTAATTTCGCTGGGCTTCCAGCTCTCGTTTCGGAAGCGCAGTGCTTCTGTCCTCGGTGTCATAGAGTTACTGTGTAGCGTATACAGTGATTCTACGGTGGCATAGTGCAACGTGCCACCTGCTGTGTGCTTTTCTGATTAATTCCGTGCAGGGATGGTTGGGAACGGGTTTACGATTCTGCTGCACACACTACTTTGAAAATGCAGGCACGGTAACGTCTTGGTAGCGGACGACATGGTGCAGCGCTAGTTCAGTGGTGGCGGGCAGACGTAAATTATATATCCCACTATGCTTACACGGATCGTGTAGGTTTCACAACAGTGTTACGTACAAGTTCAATGCTTAAGCCCGCGGTCTCATGATGGAATTCCAGCCGCGCTGTGTGAATTTCGATGGCGACCGAATGAGAGCAAGCCCGCATATCGTGCATTAGGTGCACGTCGAAGAATGCGTACTAGTTGGTCAAAATTGATTGGCAGTTACCCGCTACAGTATGCCTTATATCAACATTAGTTTATTTCGGAGAAACACACAACTTTTTTCCCATTGAATTTAATTTTTGGATCACTGTGAAGACAGGTTGGTAATTTAACGTCTAGTGAACACGTTGAATTGATTTCTATCATAAGTGTTGTTCGCTGAACTATTTTTCTGGTGAAGAAGCAGGATCGACGCCTGTTGTTCTGTCCCCGGGATAAAACACCTGCAAGGTATCAACTATTGCGATGACAAAAAGATAAGCAGATTTTTCTGTGCTTCAAGTACACCTGTTGATAAGGCTTCCGACATAACAACGCGTCACATTGATGGCATGTACTGCGAGATTGCGGAAACATGTCTCCAGAGCGAACAAACTTTACACTGATGAGTGAAAGTGATGCCTCTTTGCGGCTTTTAAACCATGGTGTTTCTCAAATTTTCATCTGCGTCGGCAACACTGAAAACTCATTTTTAAGACTTTTAAATAGTTGCAGTTAAGAAATGGCCGTTAACCGATGTTATTTTGGCTAACCATATGTGAGTGATGGCCTTTTAAGGACGTCATCCATCTCGGTGATCAGGTTTATTTATTTCGCCACGTCCCATATCAATACACTCCCTGTCCTGCTGCCACTATAGTTATGCCTGTGCCCCGGGGCCATAAGAACGTCACGAGTCTAAAAACACTCGCTTGTAGTTTTGTTTTTAGCACCACTGAAAGTGGTGGGCGTTTTACAACAGTGTTCTGAGTAAAGAGGGACAGGGTTGCGGTCTTGCCTCCCCATCATGGAACATGCGACTTGCAGGTGCATTAAACTCATCGTTGGTGTTGTCTGTTGAGAATGCTGCTCGAGAATGCTGATCACCGTGTTCGTTTTCCACGAGAAATCAGGATGTGCCTCCCGCAAAGGCTTGCTCAAGTGACGTTTTCGCTCACTAAAGAAAGTACGTGACATCGTCCAGCACGGCTCACCTTTTGCTGTAGCGGCGACACTGATGCTCGCGATGGCCACGACTCCTTCCCCCTGATTGGAAGAACCCGTGAGCGTAAACTCGAGCTGGCTCTGCTCGGCCTTGTGCTGCAGCTGTAGCTCGACGCGCTGCCACTGCTCCCCTGGTGAAAGGTCGGCAAGAAGGTGCCGAATCGTCCCTTTGGCTCCGCTGTTTACTACCAGCTGGTAGACTTTGAAAGATTGTAAACCTGCGTGAAAACATAAACGTGTGCTTTAGCAAGGTGAAAAAGTACCCGCTAGATACAACAGTCACTGGAAATTATGCGAGACTGCTCTCATTTATTTAAGCTCAGGAGGTAAGCGCACTGCTAGTAACCCGGCGTTTGCATACATAAACAGGGTGGATCATAGGCTTGCGAAGGGTTCCTGTTCAGGGTGGGGGGGGGGGGTGTAATCGCAGCGCCCTTCTCCCCCGCCTATTAAGTCAATGTAAGAGGCAGATTTTGCAGCCCCCTCTTAGGAGGGCACTCCGCCTCCTAGTCAATGTAACGAGCAGATTTTGCGCCCCTTAGGTTACTAGGGAGAGCACCCCTCTGCACCCCTCGTGCGCACGCTAATGGGGTGTATGGTTGGAATGAAGAGAGGAAGGATGGAGAGAATTTATAACAGGCATTAAAAGTAAAGCGACCTTCGCGTACCCTTACGGGCTCGGGATGTCTGCTTTCGGTTGCCGGTTCGCCAGGTATCTCCACAGATATATTTGTGGATAGTTGTGTAGAATGGTTACAACAAATAAATGTACTCGTATAATTTCATTAAATGTAGGAAACACGTGGACATTGAGATATTGTGAACAATAGTAATGTTACGTTTGCTTACTCATACATGTAATAACAATCACTTGCTAAGGACTGCTTAGCAGATTAATTCGTATGCGAGGAAGTGCATCTTCACCATTTTCCCTCTTACTTCATTATAGTTAATTCGGTATACGAGCCTAAGTTATAACACATTAGTCAAGAAAATAACAATAATTCCGTCAGAGTTGACTTTCAATGTTTAATACTCCTGAACAATAATACACCTGCACTTTAAAATGTGAAAACCTGAAAATGAAAGTTCTGAAGGATATGTTGTTAATTAAATTAGTTATTTTAGATAACCCATGGAACGTATTGCAGTATACATTATATGGCCGCCTGCATTCAACTGCAGCCCAAGCTAGTCGATTGCGTTGCTCAGAGTAGACTTGCGCAGAGAAGTACCATTTTAGTATTGAACGAAAAAAGGGTAAATTTAACGGCTGTGGCGGCTGCATTTTCGATGAAGGCAAAAATGATGTAGGCCCATGTGCTCAGATTTAGGTACACATTAAAAAATACCAGGTGGTAGAAATTTCCGGAGGTCTTCACTACGGCGTCTCTTACAATCATAAGGAGGTTTTGGCACGTTAAACCCCATATATAAACTAATCATCAAGTGTAAATTTAAGGGATTGTTTTCTTTGTTAGACACAATAATTATGAGAACTATCAAATAAGGATGTCAATAAAGTACAGGAGATGTTATTAGAAGTAATTGTAGTGTGAATATGAAGAAATAAAAGTGGACGAAAAGATAACTTGCAACTAGCAGGATTTGTACTTGTGAGCTTCGAATAACGCGTCCGATGCTCTTCCACTGAGCTACCGCGGTGGCTATCTCCCCGTCCATTTAAACGTGGGAGAGTCAGTCAGCGCCACCTGATGCTTTTACGGTGAATGTGGAATATTCGTCTTGCCTGTTGGCGTCACGTGGCACGTGATAATATTACGAGCGGGCTGCTGATCAGTTATCTCTCACCAACTACCTGAAGGCACCAAATCTGCCAGAAGGAGACCCTCGCTATGAATGAACGAAAGAAGGGTAAATTTAACGGCTAGTTTTCTTTTTTTAGTCCAAAGTTAATCAGAACCGGACAATATTAATGAGTTCTTGCCACCGGATCATGCCAGTGGCAAGTTATTTTTTAGTCCACTTTTTTTTTTCACGTTTACGTTACAATTAGTTCTAATAACATTCCGTATACTTATGTCGGCATCATTGTCTGTTAGTTGCCTGCAGTATATTTTTTTCACATTTAGTCAGACAGATGCACATCTTCACGGTATTTACCTGTTCCGTTCCTGAAATAGCGTACAGCCACTGTTTCATTGCCCTTGCTGCTAAAATAGGCGCTGCGAAGGGTGGCTGTCGGTGTGACTGAATTGTTTGCAGGTACGGTGGTGTCCACGTAGGCGAATCGACCAGCAGAACCCACACCTAATGGAAACATAAACATCATCACCTGCGAATTTTATAATTACGCAATAATTCTCTTTCGTTCTCGACTGCATTTACCTCCCTCGGGCACGCACTATGTTACTGTAATGAACAACCAGTGCAAACTTGAAGTTTGTATGCAACATAATACTAATACATGACCTATAGCTCTTGTTTTGCTAATAAAAATATGTATGAGTTTCTCCAGGGAATGTGTCAAAACGCAGCAATCGCTAATAGGTTAATAATACAGTTATTTTCACTGGCCTATTTTTCTGTGTCTCTTTTAAAGTGCTCAATGCTAAGCACTGACTATTCATTTTGCTCACATATGCCAAGCTACGTATTGCGTATGTTGTATTGAGCCGAACAGCCCTCCTGTGGAAGGACACAATAACGTTGATTGTAGCGGCATGCTTGCTGCTCAGTGGTTCTTACCGGAAGTAATGATATTATAGTCTGGGGAACGTGGTTGTCTTTTAAACACACGGCCAGTGCCCACAAGCCACCGAAAGTCTGAGTCGGATCTACTGACGTATCCGCAAAGATCTTGGTCGAAATCACACTCAGCCACATGAGAAGGTAAAGCCAAGTCAAGAAGCACGTCGTCCAAAGCAATCACAGAGTTCACGTTAGAAAGCTCACGCTTGCCCTCTATCACCACCTGTAATTAGACAATGAAGTTAATCACCTTCATGATGACCTTGTAGACACACGACAAAAGACAACACATACGGCGTTACAATTTGCTTGACCACGCCCCTTGCGCTGTTCACAACATCAGTCACGTTGTCATATGGTGTAAGCCGCAATCAATGCTTCAGAGAACACATTCGGATGTTACGATACGCTATGCAAGAATCCATACGGCTAGCACAGGTGTAACTCGGTGGTCGTCAGCAGGTTCTTTGTCCAGAAGCTGCAAAATTATCAGCCCTCAATTGAAGATATATTTGACTAGTCTGTAACACCCTTCTATTTGAAAGCTGCCCAACAGTACATGTATAAGTATAAATAAACGAATAAAAAATATAATTTTGTAGTATAGATGTTTATGCAGAGGCATTAGTAATATTTCTGTGCGCAATATTTCTACGATAATACCTTATATGGAATGAAATCCTTACAGCGCACGTAAAGCAGAATTTCACTCACTGAGGGTTGTGAGTGCTGAACCAGAAGCTAACGTCAGCGTTACAAATGCAACACGTCTACTTATTTACTGACTCAAGTATTGCCATAACGGAGTTCTCACCGCTGCGACATCGCTTTTACCTTAAAGTCCATGCTTTGTTTGGGAATTTCTGCGCGAGCCAAGGACCACGTGCGAGGATCAGTAGTGTTCGGCAGAGTCCAAATCTTTGCCAACGGCGAGCCTGCTTTGTCCACGAGGTAGATATTAAGCATTCCGTATTCTGTCGCGTCTCCATAATACCACAGCTCGATGGTGCGAGGTTGGTCCTCGGCATGCCATAGCACACTGGTCAGGTTGGCAGCGCCCCTGGCTGATGACAGCTGCAGGAAGCCGGCTGCAAAATAATGCGGTCATGACTCGGGTCAGGGGAGACCAGTCCTCCAATGGCTTACGTGGGTAAACCGTTTTTACCTAAATACGAAGCTTTCATTTATTTCACGTTAGGGTCTATTATTTCACGTTAGGGTCTATACGGCAGTGACAAGCGTTACGTGATGCAGTGGTTTAAAGTGACATAAACAACGTGTCCGGTATCTCAAGGTCATCTAAAGCACCATAATCATAACTTTGAAAAGCAATACGTACGTGATGAACACTATACGCGCGTTTCAACACAAACAGCCTCTGTTGGATGCAGATTGTATTTGCAAGGCCCGCGTACAATGTAATTGCTACTTAGAAAGATTAACATGTGAGCGAAACAAGACAGATGTGATAATAACTCTTAAACCTAAGTATCAAAGCTAAAATTTAAGTTTTAGGATTTTATAGACCAGAACCCCAATATGATCAGGACACACGTCGCATAGATAGAGGTAGTCAAACATTTATTAGCCAATAAATAATTACAGAGAGGTGTGGTCATTGAGTCGGGGCATTCTCACCTCACAGTACTAGGTGAAACCCCGTATTCCAATGTCACCCGTGTTCTTTGAACCAGGGGTTTTTAGGTCTTGAGGTCCTAACAGCTGAGCAGGGCTGCCTCTCCGTCTCTCATGGTGTTGGGCTTTTTTTGGGGAGATAGATGGGTTTGACAGGAATGTCCAGACTGTGTGAAAGATGTCAGCCACCTCTCCACAGAACTGCCATGTGCCATCACAGAATGGACACAAAAATAGCCCCGCCGGGCACAATACTGTGTCGGTAAAAAAGTTTTAAAAACGGCGCTCCTCAGTGCGATCTGGTCCTTTAGAAATGTCCGGATAGCGCTGGTGCTCCTCCTTGTAGTATTTAGGGATTTATGAATAGAAAGGCCATATTTCCTGATTAGGAGTAGGCTTCTAAAGCAGAGATAGCCCAGGAAGCGAGTGCGTGGGTTCGTGATTGACCTGTTCGTTTCCCAGGAGTTCCTGGTGACCTGGGGCCCAAATAAAATTTTGCGGGGTTGGATCGACGTATTAGAAGCAAGGTTTCAACAAGCGTTGAGCAAGGAAGCCAGCCCAATCTAACCCATAGTTCCGACAGGGGGGGGGGGGGGGGGAAGATTTTTTGAGAATGGCGGAAAGGTGAGAAAATGGGGTGTGGAGTGCACAATAACTGTCTCTCATGTGAGGACACCTCAACCAATACACTCACCGGAGAACCAGGTATGAAGGGGCAGTGATAGTGAAGAAAATAGAGCAGGGTAAAAGAAGGGGGGGGGGGGGGGTTAAGTAGAGGAAGAGAAGAAAAAAAAGAACTAGCGTGATGGGAGGAGGACACGCTTCGCCATGGCAAGCGGCTTATAAAAGTCGCTCGGTCAAGCTGGTGTCCTCAAGAAACTCAAGTAAGGTCACAAGGGCAGAGCGGCGAAGGTCGTAGCCGGTATGTTGTAAGAGCTTCTGCAGGGTTTCACATGGCAATCCGACGAGACAGGATTTCTTGACGAGCTGCTTGCGCGTTTCACCGAGAGCAGGACACTCACACAAAAGGTGGGACAATGTTTCCACCACGCCGCAGTCAGCGCAGTTCGGTGAGCTCGCACCGCACAGACGATGCTTTCATTCTGCTGGCCACACGGAGCCAGTTTTTATGGCTAGGAGGAGCCTTCGCCCGCGGCGTGTGAAACCAGTCGCTGGCATGGGAGGAGAGGTGCGTCCGGCGGCAACCCGAGTGTCATAAATCACGATGCTCGAGCGTTACTCACGGCGAAGGTTGTCGTATGCCGAGTCGAAGGAGCTTGCGTGGTCCGTTAGCGGAGTTTCGGCGGAGTGTGCTCGTTTTGCAAGTTTGTCTGCAGCCTCGTTCCCCCCGATGCCAACGTGTGAAGGGAGCCACTGAAGCACAAGATCACAGCCGCGTTCTTGAAGGGCCAGTGCAGCGCGCTGAGCCAGGAGTGGGCCCGTACCTCCCTCACGAGCTGGCTCAAGGCATGTTTCGAATTGCAGAATATTGCTGTGCTCGGGACGGCTGGCGACTCACGTATAGGAAGCCGGCAACCAACAACAGCCCGACTAGCTCAGCTGTTGTTGAGGATGCAAAATACCGCAAGTGGCACTTTCGCTCCGTGCCAAGCTGAGGGTTTATGCAGGCGGTCGCAGTACAGCCATCCTGCAGGACCAGTGAACGCTTGCGTCCTTCTGGCCAGGTCTCCGTGCGTTCGCGCCGCAACCTCCTGCGTCATGGCACTGAGCGGGGTGTGGTGCTTCGATCGGACTCCCGGCAAGTGCAGGTTCACTCGAAGGAGCGCTCGCCGGGGAGGGAGCGGCCAGCGCGAACGGCGCGCGGGATCATCGGCCACAACGCCGTCGCAGACTTCCAGAAGTTGGCCGACAATAGAATTCGGCACAGCACGTAACTGCGCGAGCAGGGAGGGGGCCAGCATCGAGTGCCCGGTAGAGACGCTCCAAGTGGCACAGTGCGCGCAGGTCCGCCGCAAGCGACGCAGGCCATGCGTGAGATTCCCCGAGTGTCTCTGCCACACGAGAGATACGGGACATTCCGTGACACATACGGATGGCGCGGCGATGGTCTTTGTCTGTGAGTCGCTACTTTGGTGCTTGGAGTTTGCAGATTGGCAGTGCGCAGTGCACGGTAGATAGAGCTACCACCTCAAATATTGTGCAGGCGAAGGCAGCGGGGCAGCTGTTGCCACGGGCGGCTAGACAGTGCACAGCAGATTCCATGCGACGCATCGTCTGGCGTGCGCGACGCACCGCCGGAAAGTATTGGAGGTGATTGCCTATCGTGAGGCTGAAGAGGCAGATGCTCCTGGGCCAAACTATCGGCGCACCATCTAGCTGAAGGCACGGAAGACGTCATCGGGCCTCAGCACGAGGGTGAAGGACGAGGACCTCGGTTTTCGGCAACGAAATCGTGAGGCAAATGCTTCTAACGAAGGTGGCCACTCACTGGAGGGTTTTCTGCATACAGGTGCGCACCACCGAGCACTTACAGGTTGGTCTACGCACATAAAGAGCGACGTCGCCTTCGTACCCCTCGTGAGGTGGTTACGATACGTTTCTCCGAGGAATAGGTGAGATGCAGAGTGATGGTGATCTCCTCCGTTTGTGTTGCGCTGTAGGTTTTGAAGGTAATTGCCTGTTTGCTGTGTTTGTGTACGATTGCGGTTGTACACCCCCCTCCCGGTTTGGGTGACAACATCAACGTAGCACACGTGTTGCTTTGACCAAAGTGTCACTGCAACGCTTCCGCACCCGCCTGGCGGCGACCGCTGTGGTCTTCTCTGGACATGTCGTGAGGAAGGAGTCAGACCCGAAGGACACGTCTCCAAGTATCTGACAGAATTATCCTTTCCTCATTGTGGTAGTCATATTAGAAGTGGAGCCGGCCCAAGGGGCGGTGACTGGAAGGGGTCTGTATTGGTTGACGATATCGGCATTTCGAGGTTCCCAGAAGGTGTTCACCCCGCCTAGAGCCAGAGGTCTTTGGTTTGACATAGTAATAGATAGGTCGACAGCCCGCTTGATGACTTTTCGGTAGATAACTTCGAGTTGGTGCTCACTGTGTTTGCGCAAGTGCAAGTAGAGGGTTGAGTAGACAATTCTATTCTATACGAAAGCATTGGCAAGCCGTAGTGCATCCTTGCTTCATAATTTTCCCCGCTTGTTGGAGAACTGGCAGACCATATGGCCCATTTGGTCTCCCAGCTTGCGAAGTTTGGCTAAAGTGGTCTTAGTTTCGGCATTGGAGGTGTATGAAGATGCCAAGGAGACGGATCTCTTTGGACTCACGGATCGGTCCCAAGGGGAGACTGATGCGTAGCTGGGTTGTGTCTCTATATAGGAGAATGACGTACGTGCATAAATGCGGACTTGGCTGGGGCAACCTTGAGTGCGCTGTAGGTTGCGCAGTCATCGACTATATTGGCCGCCTTTTGCAGGAATAACTTCATGCGGCCCACGCTACGTTGCGAGGTGCAGATTGTGATGCCATCCACGTAAAGAGCTTGATCTATCTTGGCCAGAGAAGCTAATTTGGATGGACGATGAAGCAAGACTAAACTCAACAGGAAGGGAGACAGGACCATGCCTTGAGGTGTTCCCCTCGAGCCGAAGGTGTAAGGTACATGGATGATTCGCATCTTGTATTCACATGCACGTTTGACGGTCTGTAAGATACTGTCTGATGTAATTGAATGTTTTGTAACCGCCGTTGGTGTGAATGAGGTGGTTTAAGATTATGCCATGATTCACGTTATCTAATGCCCCATCAAAATCCCAAGCTAGGGACAACCCTGTCATTATGCGGACATTTGACCTGATCTTATATGTCGTGGTGGAGATACAGAAGTGTATTCTATGCTGAGTGCTGAGGGCAGAAACCGAACATGGTATCCGCGCAATGGTGCTGTTTCGAGAAAGTTGGAGGGTCGGTAACCCACCATTGTCTCCATCAACTGGCCCAGCCATAACGTGTATTGGGGTAAGGAGGCTGAGGAAAAAACTACGAGTTAATTTTGAGCAGCTGGTGAAATTTAACCAGATAATGGCTGGGAAAGCTATAAACGGTACTCCAAAAATGCAATGCACAGGAAAACGTAAAAAAAACAGCCTGAAGTTCTAACCTACTCCAGATTTTAAAAGAAAGCTACAGTTCTGGAGTTCCCATATTTAAACAAAGCAGTATTGAAAAGCCTTTTTTTTTCTCAGCAACCACTGAATCGATCTTGATAAGACTTTTTACTGTAAAAAATAGGACAAAGTTTAGGAACCAAAAAGAAAAACATATATACAAAACTGTCAATTCTTTCAGAAATATTTTTTGGCACTGGGAAAAAAGATCTCATGGTCAAAATTTACAGTCTCATCAGCAATAAAAAACGACAAATTCTATAAAATATATACTAATATGTCTAAAGTAAAAAAAATATACATAAATATCTCATGGCTTCAAAGGCTACCGCACAATCATGAATTGCACTTTAGCAAAACATTCGTGGTCATTGAACCCTATTTTGCGTTCATTGCTAGCTCACGCATAAAATTTTTTCGCGTTAGATGGTGCGAGAGATCTTTTCTTGGTAAAAAATTTTGTGCTTGAAATTTTCGGGAACTTTCGTAGGAACACTTGAAGTCCAGCTTAAATCAATATCTTGCTTCCTAGAGTCAAGGTAGTTTACCTTTCTCACTCTCAAACGCAACCGAGTTCATTCAGATTGCTACGGTGGTTGTCTCGCAAAAGCACTTCCATGTTTTCACAAATATTTAAATAGGGAAATCGAAGGTGGGCTCGTGCAAACGGAGGAAAACGCGCAGAAGTATACGAGGTGTTTGAATTTAGTTTAACTCGAGACGTAAATTGAAATTATCACCATAGGTGTTTTTTCTCACCTGTACTAGTGATTGAGAATCGAATCACCGATGCGAAGGCATCGCAGGTACTGAACTTACCAGAGTTAGCTGGTCCAGAACGGAGGCTGGCATCTGCCATGTCACCTGTCATGCCTGTCACGACGTGCGTCCAGCCGTTGTTGTGCCAGTCGCATATGTCATGCTCGAAGTCGCATCGTTCTGTTCAAGGTGTAACAAGAATTCAGAAATAGGATCGTTTGAAAGAAAATTAGGTGATGCTGGAGGAGAGGGCGACTCGATGATGTTGACGAACCTTTTCCGCCGTAATCTAGACATGCTCCGGGTGTTACGTGGATGTTGCTAAGAGCGACGTCCCCTTGTTCGCACTTATCGCTTGATACAGAAAAGCTGAGCTGAAGAGGAATCAGAGAAACGAACCCAAATTCAGTTATTGATACGGGGGTGTTTAACTGGTGCAGCATGAGCTACCATTCCGAAGAATTAAGCTACAAGTTTCAGTAGAAGTGCCTAGAGTACGTGATATGTGAGTATGGAAGAGTGTTCCTAACTCACATAAAAAAACGTTTTCCGTCGTTCTTTCATTAAGGAGAATGACGAGAACAATGTGAGAGGTGCATTTATTTACGAGAATGACGGGCTTCTTATCCTTCTCATACTGTATTAATAATTGTCGGAGTTTAACGTCCCACAACCACCATGTATTTATGGCAGACGGCGTAGCGGAGAAATTTCGTCCACCTGAGGTTCTTTATCATAATCATCAACAGCCTACGCCCCCTGCAGGGCAAAGGCCCCTCTCATGTTCTGCCAATCAACCCGGTCCTGTGCTTTTTGCTGCCACGTTATACCTAAAACTTCTTAATCTCATCTGAGACCTAATTTTCTGCCTCGCTCTCACGCGTTTGCTTTCTCTAAGAATCCATTGAGTTACCCTTAATAATCAGTGGTTATCCTGTTTACGCGCAACGTGCCCGGCCTATGTCAAAATTTTATTGTTTTCAACTATAATATCCTTAGCCCCCGTTTGTTCTTTGATACATTATGCTCTCTTCTTGTCTCTTAAGGTTACACCTATCACCTTTCTTGTCATCGCTTCTTGCGTCGTTCTCAATTCAAATTGCAGCCACTTTGTAAGCCTACAGGTTTTTGCTCCTCAGGTAAATACTGGTAAGATGCAGCTGTTATATGTCGTCCGCTTGAGGCATAGTGGTAGAGTACCTTTCATGACTTGAGAAAGCTTGCTAAATGCGCCTCACCCCATCCATATTCTTCTGGTTATTTTACTTTCATGGTTCCGCTTCGCGGTTACTGCCTGTTCTAAGTAAACATATTCATTTACAACATACAGTGTCTGGCCAACTATCGCAAAGCGCCCTTCCCCACCCGGACAGTTGTACATTACTTTAGTTTTATGCATATTAATTTTCAGACCTCCTTTTCTGCTTTCTGTGCTCAACAGTACTGAAAGTTGGGCGAGTTGGTACTCATTCATGACTTCTTTGCGCAAACACGTACACGGACACAAGGAAAAGAGGCAAACACCACGGGCGCAAACTCACAACTGGTTTATTTTGAACAACGAACTGTACTTATATCTTCACGTAGCCCACACGCCCCCCCCTCTCCCCCATCGGTTGTTCCTGGATCCACCGATGGGGGGGGGGGGGGCGTGTGGGCTACGTGAAGATATAAGTACAGTTCGTTGTTCAAAATAAACCAGTTGTGAGTTTGCGCCCGTGGTGTTTGCCTCTTTTCCTTGTGTCCGTGTACGTGTTTGCGCAAAGAAGTCATGAATAAGTTTCTGTGCTCAGTTCAGTAATCATCAGATGTAGTTCGTCCCCTGAGTTACTCATCAATGCAATGTCATTAGCGAATCACAAGTTACTACGATACTCTCCATTAACTCTTATCCCTAAATATTCCCCCCATGCCTTTGCTTCATATGTGAGGGCATGGAGTTTGCAGCAAATTTTTGTGGGCTTTCTTTTTCTTCCACTTTGATTCTTTTTACTTCGTCATTTTCGCGTTCCAGTTAACTAAGAGAAATGATTCATTCTTTCCTTTCCTCGGTTTTCATTCTCAGTTGGCTTGAGATGACTTATAGAACAGACAAAATTGCTGTGTCCGAAAACAGTCGAAGAAATTTGAAAATGTAAATGCTGCATCCAGTTTCTTGAATTGCGTCAGCCATTGTACTAGTGTTTTCAGTAGCCGTAGGTGAATGGCGCCGGTAAGACTATGCACGACAGTGCGTGCAATCGTCTCGGTCGCTCTCAATTCCGGCTATTGTCTCACCACCTCAGAATATAATCGCTCATGAGTTGGAGCCTGTCACTCACCGTGGTCGTGTGAGCTGAGAAGCGGATAGTTCGGGAAACGTGATACCATCTGTCTGCGACGGTGCCACCGAATGCTCGGAACAGTACACGGGTCCTGCTCTGCATAGACGACTGAAACTGGCGGGTACGCAGCAGCAACATCAGCTCCCGCTTTCCCGGACCAAACATGTGGAAGGCAAAGCGTGTGCAGACCACAGTCTGTTGTAGAGGCACGATGGGCGAATCAAGGGACGAGGACACCATGACACCCGAAGAGTGAAGCTTTTTGCAGCTCAGGTAGATGAAATCGCCTGCGCAGCAATTTGGTGCACTGCTCGACCAGAGAGGCCACTTTTCCAAACCCATGGTCACAAAAATTTTGTTTGGCTAAGTCGGTCGTAAGAGCGTCTGTAAACTATCTAAAGGATCAGCAATAAAAAAAAAGGGCAGTCGTACCAGCAGTAGTAGCATTGTATTCCAGAAATAATATTGTGGTTGTCCCAAAATCTGGTAGCCAACGCCATTCTTTCAGTAAAGGTTAAATGGTGAGCAATCGTTCGATGGGCTGAAGTGTATACTTCGATCCCTCAGTCCTTCTCTCTCTCTTGCAAACACACACAGATGAGCGCACGTGCTTCAAGTATAAAGGTGAGAGAAAAACTTACTTGGCTTCCCAGCTGGTGAGGCAGCTGGGGACAATGCGTATTTTGGTGGAAAACGACTTCCCAGCTTCCAAGTTCCCGCTATTTCATCAGGACGACTCCAAGAACATCTGTTCTTAATGTTCCACACGCAGTCGAGCATGACGTACGCTGCGTGCATCAGAAAACAGTGCATTTGTTGATGCAAAGCGGAAGAGACATCTCCTTTCATCTACCCGGATGTTTCTTTTCACTGCTCTCAAGCTCAGAGCCATTGACTTGAAGCATGAGCATCAAGTTCATACAGAATAACATGTACTATATGCGCCCATGAATGAGTTTAAGAAAAGAAAAAATTTACAATCTCCCACTAAACGGAACCATAGAGAGATGTGAAGCAGTGGGCGCTACCGCTTAGACTGTCGGTGGCGTAGACGCTGGTGCTCATCGCAGTGTTGCGCAACACAGAAACCTTTGGAAGCGCAAATCGCTCAGTGATAGACCGGTGGTTCCAACTGGAACATGCCAATCGCTGCTCATGGGCAATGAGAGGCAGAGGTCTCCGATTGGGCACAGACACCCGCAGTATGCTTTTAGTTAAAGCGCACGCTGCGAACTACTATTGTTCGAGAACGAACAGGAGAAATCTCCCACCGGCAGTCAAGATCCGATGCTTACATATGGTAGTTATTTTCGTGGGCACCGCCATCTTGCTAGCGGGCGGCCCTCTTCTGGTCTGGCAACCCGTCTGGCATGCGGGAAGCTCACTGTTTGCATAGAAAGTATACGTGCGGCTGCTGTTTTATCGTTGCATATTAGTTTTTCACGGTGAATTTTGACTGAGGTGATGCACGTTCTTTGGAAAATGAGTCTATGAGACGTTCTGACAAGGTTAAAGTCGTCGAGGGTCAACTGTTTTACTATACAGTGCCGTGATCGAGTCTACCTCTATCGACGCGCCGACTTTCTGCTCGAAGAATGCGTAGTATTTTCAGGTTTTCTTTTCCAGAATAAGCTACAGTACTTTGAGAGCATAGTACCTGATTTTGTTATAGCTATACTGGTATTTACCCCCCCCCCCCCCCCCCTATAATACCGAAAGGTGCTGTGGGTATTGTAATAAATAAATATATTTCTTAAGCTGTAGACATTCAATTTCGCATCAAAATTTCTTCACGCTACGCCGTCACGGCGGCTACCGCTCTTGCACGAAGCCATGCGTTGGAGTGTAGTAGATCGTCTTTCTTTCGTGGCACTGACGGTTTTGTTAACTGCGCACTAAGTCGTTTAAATTGTTTCTCAACTCCGAAAGAGTGACCGTATCTCAATCACCCGTTTGTTTTTAGAGGTGTGCACTTGAATACAGCTCTTTCAACAAACGACGCTGACGTACCTGTGCGTCCCCTTTTTATGTTATTTTTTCAATCGCTATATTTGAGTGACCCTCAGTGCCGCGGTATTTTGACCTGCGATAGAGACAAATGTTACGTGGGGCTGTTTATAGGGGAAATATTGTAATCGTTGGGATACCAGTTGTCTGCGTACCTTCCATTCATAGCCGAGGTTGAGCATCAGTGTCGAAGTCATTGCGGTTCGTTTACCCGAGAAGAAGTGCTCTGTACATACCCGAGCGCCCGCGGAAGGTACAAAGATTTTCCTGTTTACGTTTGCAAGTCATAGAAGCTTCTGCTCCCCATGAAGAGGAAAACGATGCAACTTGAAAAGTTCACAGCCACAAAAACTTCGCGTCTGGTGATGCACATTTCGTATTTCTTCCGACAGCAGTTTCCTTTTTCTGTTGTTGTTACGGCACGCATATAGAGTGCGGTGGTTTCGTGATGACTAATTTTTGACCGTAATAGCAATGAAGAAAAACAAAACCCGCAGGTTGGCTTAACACACGGCAAATCGCTCAATAACGCCACACATACCAGCATCCACATGTGCACACACACTCCAAGCCATCACCCGCATGCCAGAGAGGAGGAATGCGATGGATGCCAGACCGGACCTCCTCGCCCGATGCAAAGGTCTATACGGGGTAGCCAGCGAACAGTCGTGCAGCGTGAGCAGTCGGCTTTTTAAATCGAGAAACTGGTTAGCAGACGCTATCTGCGTAGGCGTTGGGAGGATGGACAGAGGAGGGGGGGGGGCAGAGAACAGAAAAAGGGAAGGGTACGCGCATGCGCAGTAGGATGGTCACGTCGCACACCGGATTGAGCTCGACCATATGATGCTCCTCATTTAATATAAAAGGAGGACTGTATTGAAGCCACGTAAACGAAAGCGGTACTTATGCTTTAAGCAATGTGACCATCTTTCGTTTATGGATTCCATAATACTGCAGTTCATAACATAAACTTATCTTACTTATCTTAATACAAGCAGTGTTTATTTATCTTGCGCCTTTGAAGGCAATGTTGAGCTGAGACGAACTGATTGCACAGGATTTGGGTACTGAATACGTGCTTTCGATAGTGTAGGAGCAAGTATGGCGATAGTTGGTAACCGATTTCCATCTCTCCAGCATAGAGGTTAAAGGTGCTCCTCGTGTTTGCATAAGTGATTTGCGCATGCAAAAGAAATTCCTAAAAAATGAATAAACAAATGAATAAATAAATAAATAAATAAATTTGTGGCTGTTCAAAACATTTAAGCTACTTGAGAGCCAGTTTTTATCTGAATGGCCTAATAGACGTGCGCTTGTCCATACTGCACATCCAGTAGGATTTTATTGGTGCCGCAGGTGGGATATAAAAACCAGTTTTGAGAAGTTCAGCTGCGTAACAATTTAAATTAAGAAATCTTTCTTCAGGTTGAATTACGGTGTCGACGGTAGAAAAATCAAACACACGCAAAATTTACATACGTCGGCATAACAATTGCGGAAAATCTCAGTTGGAAGGAACACATAGATAGGATTTGCGGAACAGCCCAATGCAAACTTGGTTTTTTAAAAAGAAATCTGTCAGCTGCTTTCACCACCGTGAAAGTTGAAGCTTATAAGATGATGATACGCCCAAGTCTGGAATACGCTATTATAATTTGGGGCCCTCACCAAAAATGACAAAAAAAAAACAACTAGAACGTGTTCGAAAATTAGCTGCAAGATTTGTTTACTCCTCTTCTAGACAAGCGTAATCCGCAACAACCCCCTCAACAAGGGCAGAGATACAAATACTTATTTCAGGCGAAAGATTGCCTTTGTAAACTTTTTTTATCAGCTGTCAGCCGGTAAATTCAATTTGGACTCCGTATTGTATCTGCTCCCAATTGGAAGAAAGTCTCGTCGTACCAATTACTGTCATACATTTTCGCCCTATAGGTCGCGAGTTGATGTGTATAAATATAATTGCTTGTTCGTGCAATAGCTCCATGGAATGACGTAAGCCCGGAAGTTTTCTGGGACATTATTAGCTTGGCTACATTTGAACAAAATCTGGAGTTATATTTCCTGTAATTTATTTTTCATTAGTGTATATTTAGTGAGTTAATTTTGCTTCAGTGTTTATTTGTTCTCCTGCGGAGTATTGTATTTCGTTTCATTGTATGTGTGAATCCCACTCTGTAATAGCCCGTATGGACTTACAGAGTTCAAAGAATTCAAAGTAAATAAATTGTAAGGAAAACGAATTGCCGCATCAACTTCACCTGTTTTCCCGGCTGCGGCTTCAGCTGGCATAGTCGGGCAGTCGTCGTTGATGTAGATGGCGATATCGTCCAGAGCCACGTAGCCATTACGACTTTGTAACACGGCAGCTTGAAACGTCACCTTGAGGCACAGAACAAGCGGATTGGTTAGTTTCCTGCCCAGCGCGTTCTGTTTGAGCACCGTGCGGATGCCCCGCCGCGGTGGTCTAGTGCCTAAGGTACTCGGCTGCTGACCCGCAGGTCGCGGGTTCGAATCCTGGCTGCGGCGGCTGCATTTCAGGTGGAGGCGGAAATGTTGTAGGCCCGTGTGCTCAGATTTGGGTGCACGTTAAAGAACCCCAGGTGGTCTAAATTTCCGTAACCCTCCACTACGGCGTCTCTCATAATCATATGGTGGTTTTGGGACGTTAAACCCCACATATCAATCATCAATCGAGCACCGTGCGGACAAAAACTGTCGAAGTATCATGCCGCATCTAACATGCGTGTTGCCACCTGTCGTTTTTGCGCGTCACATAATCACGTCATGCAATGCAAATATGGTATATTTCAAGCCATTGAACTAGCCACGGGTGCACCATGAATGTGCCATACAAGTCATGCCGTACAGGACATGCATGTTACGGTTTTCACGTCATCAGCTGTCGTTTATATGCGTCATACAGAGTCACGTTGCTCAAAACTATTGTTTACTTCAAGCTATAGTACCAGTCACAGGCGCACCATGAGCGCTGCATGTAAATCATGCCTTTCAAGAAACTCATGTCATAATTTTTCTGTTAACATGTGCACCTCTAATTTATAATTTTTATACAGTAACGTCTCCCAGCACCCAATTTGCGTGCATATCAAGCCAGCGAAACTCCATGAGCGTGAAATGTAAGTCATGACGTGAATGACATGAATGACATGATTTTCATGAGACATGCTCGTCATACAGTCACGTCCCGCAATGCCAAGTTTGGAAGATGCGAAACTTGCGTGGCCGTAAGGGCACCATGATTGTTGCATGTAAATCATGCCATAAGTGACATGCATGTCACATTTTTCGTGGAAAAGTGCGCTATTTATATTCGTCATACATAAAGGTCTCACTTTGCGAATTTCGGTAAGTATTAATTTATTTAGGCAGTCACGAGCTCCCCGATATCACGTCATGTAATCATGCCGTTGTGATGTTCATGTTTTCATTTGAAGATTAGGATCTGTCTCTTATCTTTGTCATACACTCGCGTCACGCCATATCAGTTTCGGTATGTATCAAGCTGAAAAAATGGCAACAAGAGCACGAAGTCTGAAAGCTTGGAGATATTCATTCTAGCACTGATTCAAACTTGCACATTTTTTATCCTTTATGCATGATACAACAGGAGTCTTTATGCTCGCTATCGTCTTGCTAAAATGAAAAAGCATCGCACGCGAATTCCTGCACTAGATAATACTTATATGAAGTGAAAGATTGCCGGTGCAACAGCGGAAGTCTTAAAAAAAAAACTTGAACCTGAAGCGAAGTTCGCGGATGTCACAGACACACGTAGTTTTTACGCAGACGTGCAATAACAAAATTTGTGGTGCAGTGCAGTGTTGAAAAGTGTCTTTCGGTTTGAGGTACTCAGTCTAATCATCACAGGCATACAGACGAATTAACGTATCATCATAATGAATGTAGCGCCTGAACATTTTAACAGAAAACTGTTTTTTGCTGAGGTCCACTTGCCTCCGCTGACGTAATTCCGTCACGGATATGACGTTGCGAAATATAAACTTATGGATTGTGAGGAAATAAACCAGAAAAAGGTCCCTATTTAGGCATGGAACCTACGACTCAACGGGCAGCGCGAAATCACTTGGCCACAGAGTGTTGCTTGTTCAACTTGCTGACAGCGAGCTACTTATATACACTAATACACCGTATAGGGCTTTTTTTTTTCAAAAAGAGCCAAACGCAGAAGCCTAAGCTAGGCAAAATATAATGGTAGCGTACACTCTAAAAAATATCGAGTAGTTGTGGAGCGTTTCTGCCACGCAAGAATAATCGTCATCTACTTCGAGAACTTTCTTCGCGTTACCACCACGATTCCGGTAGCTAGCGGTCACAAATGGTGCGCGTCCTATCACTGTGGCAACATTCTTGACAGGAAAGTGGCCAGCCACGGGTTTTCAAGAAAATAAACGCGAGCAAGTCATATGACGATTATTTGTTGTGCCGTAGAACCATACTCCCCGAATACTCCATTTTTTTTCTTAGAGTGTAAAGCGTGCTTAATTATCTGTAATTTTCAAAACAGTTGGAATGAAAATGGGGTCACGCCTGATTGTAACGCTAACCTTAAAAGGTAGTTTCTAATAAAAAATGAGTCACTCCAGCTGTTTCAATTAAACGCAGGCACATTCATTAAACCAGCACTGCGTCATCAATCCTTATCAATACAACCAACGGGATCTCATCTAAAGTGTTTCACTTGTGTCCTAGTTGCTTTGCTATGGTGCTTGCGTTCCGCTATCTACAGATCTTCTAGGGCGAGTTGGCGCTCACTCAACGACTTGATGTTCGATGACTAAACTCGAATACAAAGGGTAACAGTCTAAGTTTACAACTTCTTTTTGCCTCTTAGTGTTTCCTCACTAACTTAGCGTCACAGTGTCATGTTTTCCATACGTTCCTACGTGGTTGATGATTGATGTGTGGGGTTTAACGTCCCAAAACCACTATATGATTATGAGAGGCGCCCTAGTGGAGGGCTCCGGAAATTTCGACCACCAGGGGTTGTTTAACGTGCACCCAAATCTGAGCACACGGGCCTACAACATTTCCGCCTCCATCGGAAATGCAGCCGCCGCAGCCGGGATTCGAACCCGCGCCCTGCGGGTCAGCAGCCGAGTACCTTAGCCACTAGACCACCGCGGCGGGGCTTGAGCAGCACACTTTAAGTGTCGAGCTGTGACAATTGTTAGGCCACACTCTGTAGGCTCATTGAGTGCGTGCTTTCTGCTTGAGGTGCGTGCTGCAAGTTTCGAGCTGCTTGCCGTTCTTCGCGTGACACTACAAATTGTTGCTGTAGCATTGACTCCTTTGCCCTTGCGGCGAAACAATGCGCAGTAAATGCTAACTGCCTCTGTGAAGACACCTTACACTTACTTGTGATGCTGGTTCACAGAAAGAAGGCTCAGCCACATTTTCGCCCTTCAGTGGGATATGATATATTACGATAAGTATATATTTCGGCTCAGATGTGATCGTGTACTAACCCTGTGACGTCGAGGAATCTTGACTCGGCCAAGAGTCCACGCAGTGACGTTTTGCCCTTTGTGAAACCACACTTCTTGCATTTGCTGATTAGTGCCAGGTGGTTGTCGGTTTACTGTAACCTTGAACTGCAAAAAATTTAGGTGAATACGCTAATGAGACCATATAATAAGCCTTTAAATTAAGGGTGCTTGTTAATACAAAATAAGGTTCAAAAGTGAAATTAGAGTGAAATGTGATGGGGCATAATTTTATTGTCAAGTTGTTGTGCAACTATATACTTTATGGGAAATATTTTAAATATAGTAACCTGGTGCAGCTACGTTTTTGAAGAGCATACAAGATATTCCAAACAGCATAGTCAATTAAAACAAGCTAATGAATAACTAACTTACAGTTACAAATGAGCTCACATTGGTACGCTAGAGCAACAAATACTTGCAAAAGCTCGCCTTTTTGAATACACGATCTCATACATGCTGTAGATCCTATAGTTGTAGACCGATATGTACAGCTGGTAGTTACAAATTAGTGCCATTCATGTAAGCAATCTAACTTCAATGAATGACTGTTACAATATCCTGGGGTATATATTATAATAAAAAAATTGATTACGCCATGATGTTGCGCGTATCATAGCCTGACACACTTCTTAAGATAGTGAAGCCTCTTTGAGTTGTCTGGCGGTGCTGACATTCAATTTATTAGCAAACTCATCAGATCCACCGTGGCTCTTTCCTAAACTCTATTGAATTTCTGACCAAAGAAATGACGCATTGGGCAATAACCACACGACTTTCTTTACTAAGGCAAGCGCTGTGGCAGGCATTAAGCTAATCGGACCAATGAATACGCATAATACGATAAATAAATGCTTCCACTTATCTCTTTAACATTCAGGCAAACCTATATAGAACGCTAAAAACAGCGTTGAAGGCAGAATTCATCGTAAGACAAGCAGTGTGTGGAAATGACGCCATTAAAACAGCAGTGGCGTGGTTTTAAGCTCCGCGCAAAATTAGCATTAATTTATTTTGTATTAAACTGGGGGCAATGCTTCCTTTCAAATCTTTTGCCTTCCTCCAGGGTATCTTTCTTGACCTTTAATGTTACTCTTAGCAGGAACAAATATTTTTATTGTAGTATAACTTTTTTCTCTGTATGAGCAGAACGTATATGAGCTATAGCTCGTAGCTTTTCGGAGAATGCGTGAAAGTAAGGAGTAAAACATGGACCAAAAATATAAAAAAATCTTGCTATTTAGATCAAATACATCAAACAGCTGAGTGTGTGCACATCTTTCCCACAGTGTCACCAATGCATCGTAGAAGATGAACTTTTTTTTTGTAAACCGAGAAAACGCATCCTAGAATGTTAGTGCGCAGACAGGCACATCTTACCGTGATCTGTGCTCCCTGAGAACCCTGCACCATGTACCAAAAGTCCATACACTGTGCTCCATGAGCATACAAGTCAACAACCTCGCTCTGTAGCTCGGCGGTACCCGTCACTTGCATTTCACGGCCGCTCACAAGCATGAAGGAGCCTGGAAAAAGATTGGTGCGACTTTTGGTCATTACACTGCGTATTGGTATCACCGTGAAACATTAGGCGATTGAGAAAAGAGCATTGGAAAATTGTTTCATATTTCTAAGAATCAATTATTAAGTGGAGGATATCATGAGTTTTCATTGAAATGAAACACCATGTGACCGTACAGTTGAAACATGGCACATTAGAACAAAGTTTATAATTACAGAAAAAATACTGATGTATCTTTTCTCATGTCCATTGAAACAACGGAGCGGTATTTCGCAATCGCTTAACGACAGTTTTATGATCAAACGAGGGGACATAGCTGCGACACTCATGCCAGGATGGCTTGCCTTGATAAGTTTAATACATACGTGAGCTAGAAACAACGAGAAAAGACGCGTCGAAATGATAATTTTAAAGAGAGTGGTTGTTTCAGGCAAAAGAAAACCTATGCGTAACATGATCCCGCTCGTGCAGGCCACTTTGTGACCAATGAAGCCGCACATGGCCGGGACTCGGGTACATTAAGGGGGCGGGGGACATGTGCACGTACCGCAATTTCTCGTTGGCGACAGTGGCGGTCTGTCGTAACTAAATGAAAAATAGGCGAAAACAATAATATCTGATGAAAAAAAAGCTACTTATCAAAACGACTCTCAGGTATAAGTAGCAGAGACCCACTGGAACATTCTGTTAAAAGTGCAGTGTCGCATTTTACACCACGTGGAATCCCAGTGTGTTTAATACTTTACAATGGGGTCATAAGTGTTTCCAATGGGCGGTGTTTAATTATCCTGAAAAGCCACACACTTTGCAGTGCAATCTGCAATTTCACCAGAATGCTCCGGTGGGTGTCTGCTACCTATAACCAGGAGTCGTTTTTTAAAACGACGTTATTCAGTGCCTTAGAATCATGTTATGTTCAGTCCCTTAGGATTAGGTGCAATATTCAGTGCCTCAGCATGATATGCAATGTCCAGTCTCTTAGAAATATGTTACGTGGTTTGTGATTTTGCAGATACCACATCATAATTCACACCTGAAACAATTAAAGCTACATGTACACCGACATAGGCCACCAGAGTTAAGATCCAAGCCAGGCTGGTCAAATTCGCCATTTTTCTAAGAAAAAGTAACAAGGGTGTTCAGAGCGAAAGATTGATAAAAGCGCTTTTTAAAGTGTACGTCACTTGACATAAATTGCCAGAGGGGTCGCATCTTATAAATAAATCTGTTAAAGCACTTCGCGCACTGTAAATAGTATGCCAATTAGCGTTCGTGAATGGATGCAGGTGCTTTCGTTTTCAGCCTCGTTGGGCCTCTCATTCATCCTTTTTCTCTTTTGCCCTGAGTGGTTTTTCTAGAACACGTTCCAAAATAAAACCAATGAGCCCTGCTCCGGAAGCAACACATGTACATGATTCACCCTCATATGCTACTGGACATTCACACATGGCCTCAAGAACCGACCTAATTTGTCTCAACTTAATGATCCAGTGCCGATTTCCAAGCTTAGATTAGCTATGTCGCGAAATTGCGACAACTGGCTGTACATCTTGTGAGGATCCGAACTGCCGTTTATACAAATAAATGAATAAATAAATGAATAAATAGATGAATAAATAAATAAAAAACTGAATAAATAAATAAATAAATAAATATTTGCGTGTTTGTGCTTGCGTTGGAGGGGGATGTTCTCGAGAGAGACGTCGCCCTGTAAAACAAAAGTAGAACGCAATGCACAATTTTTGCTATATGTTTCCACATTTTCACAATAAAAACAACATTACCCAAAGCCAAGGTATAATTACGAAGAACACCGTAATTGTGGGCTCCGGAAATTTTGACCATCTGGTGTTCTTCAACGTGCCATGGTGCCCCAACATGGCACAGTACAAGGGCCTCTACCATTTCGCCTCAATCGAAATGCGACCGCCACGTCCAGGTGCGACAGCCACGACCTTCAGGCCAACAGCCGAGCCCCGTAACTACTGATCCGTCATGGCGGACAAGCATTTTCACAGGTACGTATATAGCGCTAGAAGAGTAATAGATAAATGCGCATCAGTACCGAAGAAAATGCCCAACTCTGAAGCGAATACCTTTATCCGAGGAAAGTGTGTGGTCGACGGACGGCTGCGGGACTCTAGTGTTGAGCTGTCCGCCACGCAAGAGCCACGCCCAGGTTCTTCCCTTCTTCATCGAGTTCGTCCACGTGCAGGGACCTCGCTCAAAATCGCAGCTTAGACCCCTTTCTGCACACCGGGAGAAAAAGCCGTCGAATACATAGAGGCAGCAGTGGTTGAATGCGTGACGCGAGAAGACACTGCAGGCGGCTGAAACATCATCATCATCATCATCATCATCATCATCATCATCATCATCATCATCATCACCACTATTATCATCAGCATTATCATCATCAGGCTGACTACGTCCACTGCAGCACAAAGGTCGCTCCCATGTTCCGCCAGTCAACTCAGCTGAAACATAAATGGTGCCAAAAATACAACAAAAAAAGTTTGTATCTGGCACCAGTATTGAAGCAAAATAATCGCCTCACATGGACTAAGTGAGGGGGGCAGGAGTGTGTGTACAGTACTGTGAGCATGGTACAAAGTGACAGAATGTCAGGAACAATTGTACGAGCCTACGCACGTTTATAAGCCTCAAGAGCAAAGCCGCGTGGTTGCACTGCACAAGAAAAGCAGTCAGAAGATTTATACGGCTGTGCTGTGTTGCTGTTGGCTCTGTTTTCGATCGCCCGTAAGCCTGTGTTAATAAATGTGAGCTAGTTTTCCTTCCACGATAAGCACTCAGGGCATCTCCATCTAGAATAGCTGAGTATATAGAAGTAGGTTATTGAGAAGTGTATGGGCAGGTATATCGGTAGAAGTGGTCATATTTAAAGGTATTTATCCACAAATATTAGGTAGCGTCACGGTGAGGCTTTGTAGAAAACAAAACAAATACGACGAGGGAAAAGTAATTTCATTGTGCTATTGGCGTTACCAAAATAGAAATCTGTATCCTGCACAGATGTCATGGCCAGTACCAGGATTGGAAGCGTGAACTGTGTAATTCACATAAAAACGTCGCATCTTGTTCGTGCATGCACATGTCAGGTGTCCTTATGCTACAATTCTATTAAGGGCGGTATCAGTTAAACTCATATGGTTATTCCGATGAGGCGCTTGGTCATACATGTGTGCATGCACACAGTAACACTGTAAAACTTGAGCCGTGGTGGTGTGAGTGCGTTTTGTGAATATCGGTTCACTAAATTCACCCCAAACAAGCTTGTTTGCGTTTTGTTTGTTGCAGACGCTAACATCCACGCGATTGGGTGTTGCGTCGAAAGGCAAAGGCTCGTCGTAGTGTCGCAATTACAAAAGCGAATATTGACAAATGAATGAAGAGCAGTTAAATAACAAGCGTTATAACCATTTCAGACAACTTCGGAGTGTAGGAGTGAAATTGAAGCTAAAAAATTAAACCATCTCCCGTTAAATTTGATTGATTGATTTGTGGGGTTTAACGTCCCAAAACCACCATAAGATTATGAGAGGCGCCGTAGCTAGTGGAGGGCTCCGGAAATTTCGACCACCTGGGGTTCTTTAACGTGCACCCAAATCTGAGCACACGGGCCTACAACATTTCCGCCTCCATCGGAAATGCAGCCGCCGCAGCCGGGATTTGAACCCGCGACCTGCGGGTCAGCAGCCGAGTACCTTAGCCAGTAGACCACCGCGGCGGGGCCATCTCCCGTTAAAGAGAACCATGTCTGGATGCGCAGAAGCGGGGAGATGGTGAACGGCGCGCACAAAAATTCACCTACGTCGCGCTAGCTAGGTGACCACCTTTAAGAACCTCTACCTGACTAACGCTGCCGGTGACAATGACTGAACAGCCGGTCCCTCAACGCACACGTTTAAGCCATTAAACGTGATCCCGTACAGGCGCCGCGCTCTGTATCACAGAAACGTGGAACGCCGCAATACCGACAATCAGCTGCGAACAAAGCAGGCGCGCTCTGTCTCACGGAAACGTGGAATGCGTGTCTGCGGGGAGCGTTGGAGGAGGGAAGAGAGAGGGCGATGCGCATGCGCAGTGGAAGTGTCGACGCCTCGCTGCTCCGGAAACTTTTTGTTGCCTTCGCCGGTGACTCGGGAGAAAGAAGGGAGAGCGTAGGAGAGGACAGAGGGGGGAGGGAACGCGCATGCGTAGTAAGAGTGGTCACGCTGCACACCGGACTTAACTCTGCCATAAGACGCTTCGCACCCAAAAAACAAAAAAAATCGATAAAAATTTTGTACACTCACGTTCTGAAGGGCATGCACCAAATGCCAGTGTGATGTCGTCCACGGCAATCAAGGCGTCCCTCAGTGAAGCTTGCAATCTAAACTGGTTCTGTAAAAAGAAATCATGGAATAATAGACGTCTGTCAAAGAAAACAAACAAAACGTTAACTCTCCTTTTTTTTGAACTACTACTTCTAAATAGCGCTTCACTTTAAATACTGTTACTTTTTAGTTACCGCAATTAGCAACACAGCAATGACTAGTTGCGTTTCTTTCTTGTTTTTTGGGTGAGGTAAAAACATTGGCTGCTTCAATGAAATTGCTTTATTCTTTGATTCTTTGGGTTAGTGTTCTTGAGTACTTCGTAAGAAGCTTAGAAATAAAGGTAACTTCTTGGAAGCAAAATAAAATGAAGTTAGTTATGGAAGACGACATATTTTCTTGAGGATTGCACAGCGCACTGATATCTCCAGGAAGCGGAATAAATGCTTACAGCCAGTCAGCTTATGTTTCAACCGGCTTCGAATTCATTTGAAAAGTACGTTCTGTGACACCCGTAAATATGGGTAGCAACTGACCTCAATATCAAAAGCGAGTAGTTGTACAGTTATGAAAGAGAAAGAAGACAACGACCTACTTGTAGCACGGAGCCACAAAAAAAAAATCCTTACGGGTTTTCCACAAACAAATGCTTATTAGTTGCCGAAAAATTCGTCCTGGTCCGGGGTTTTTCAGCAGCTAAGAAGCTTTCCTTACTGAGAAATTTGTACGGATTTCCTTGTGGCTTTGTGCCACAAACGGGTGGTTGTCTTCTTTCCCTTTCTTAACCCTTGCACCACCTTGCAGCTTTTCGCAGAACTCATTTGCAATAGCTGTACAGTCACGTCTCAGTTTTTGCTGCCCTAACGCTTATAATCTTCTGACTTTTGTTGCAAAAAGCGCTCAACATGCAAAAAAAAAAGTCAGTTTCGTCACTAGGGCGAAGCAATGAACGCGATAGCAATTATTAGAATATCACACGAACAACGACAAACAGCTCGATACTTTCAGCACGCCTGTCCAGCACAAGAAGGATGCTCGAAAAGAACGCACAGGTGTACTCAGAACAAGTGTAAATAATAACTGTCATATTTGTTACGTGTTTGTGTTGGAGGAAAGCATTGCAACTGTCCACGATGCGGAAGTCGACGCTGTTAGGTTTCTTTTTTTAATTTTAAACTGCAGCACGTGGAATGACTCCTTTGCAATTACTGCCACGCGGTGGCATCTCACGCCAAGTGTGGCAGTAATTAGCGTGCCCCGTGTTTTTTTGTTCTCTCTTCTACATCGTTAGTGCTACAGATGGGATCAATTTATCGAGTGCGTCTTTGGGTCAATTTTTGATCTGGAAGGAAATTTAAAAGCAATGGTGATAGAAATAAGCTTCAGATGTTTCGATATCTGCGTATACCGCGAGCGGAAAATGGGGCGTATGAAAAGCTCGCCGTTTATCACCGGCACAAGCATGACGCGTGGCTGCGTTGGCTAGGGCATTAGGCTGCGAAATGAGGGTTCGCTGGTTCAAATCCTTGATATGTCGCTTTCGATTTTTTCGTGCCGCTTTTACAATATAAGTACATATACATATCCGGGACGTAATGTCGATGGCAAAAATTAGCCGAAAGTGTCCATATAATGCTATCGCAATAATACCTGGTCAGGTGGCAGCCACACTCGAATTAATTCCCGCTTCCATGCACGCTCCAGTTCGTGCGTGCTTGACCACCAGGGTTTTCCGGACAGGGGCGATACTGTCAGGTTACAGCTGTGACAGACAGCGGTAAAACATGCACTGAACAATATAGCTCTTCTAATCATTCGGTATATTCGTGCACACAGTAATAGTCAGAAATAGGCGGAAAATCCTTCCCGATGATGTCTGCAGACCAAATGGAGTTTCGCACGTTTTTGTACAAGTTCCCACGAATTATGTGAATGCATAATGTCCACTTGTGCAGCATAACAATACTGCCACCGGCACTTTATGGCGGGTAAAGATACCATGTCAATATCGGTTGGTCAGTGTTGGTTGTGTAGTGTGAGAGGCTTGTGTATGTGGCGGGTTTGCTGTGAGATGGTTACGTGTACGTCTGAATGTGTACGTGTGGCATTTTACCTTTCGATGATGATTATGCAACTGGATATTTTTTCACATATGTTGGGATCGCAAAATGCACTCTTTACTATTTACTTGCTGTAACCAAACTATGCAGACATTCTGCGGGTACGGGGCATTCTGCGGTTACACAGGTTGAGCCGACTTTCTGTCGAAAATGTGTACCAATTTCAGAAAAGTAGGAGTCTGGGCCATTTGGTGATTGATGCATACTTGGTGGAATAAGTGCAATAACTGACAAGTGACAAAAATACCCTTACTGTATGAAACCACTGATAACTAGTATTTACAGGTACAATATATGAAGACGTATTTAGAGCACTGATACCGTAAGGTATTGGCGTTAAAGAGCATTGACACCAAGATTAGAACAACTAATTTTGCGTTTACGAACTCGCGAGTCGACTCACTCAGGCTCACTCACCCTATCGGAAAAAAACGAATGGTGGGCATGGTGTAAACCACCACCCACCATTATAGTGGATTAATGTAGTGGGTGAATGGTGGGAAACGCCCACCATGGCGCATGATGGGTATGGTGGGTGCTGCAGTGCCGGCAACACTTGAGCGCGAAACGACGTCAGAATCACCGTGACGAGCTGCCCACGCTCAGACTCACAGATTCATCTGAGTCTGCAGACTCAGATGAATCTGTGAGTCTGAGCGTGGGTTCGTCCAGCTGAGCATTATGTCGGTGAGTTCGAGTCCGAGTGAATCCGGTCGAGAAATAGTACAACCAGTCTAAGTCCGGCAGTCCGAGTAAGTCCAGTTGAAGAAAACCTGGGTTAGCCTGAGTTCGAGTTAGTCCTCAAAGCAGAATGTATTTTTTGAGTGAGACTGAGTGAGCTCCAATTGATTTGCAAAGCTTACCATTTTAACGCAGTGTGACGAAAGTTGAAAACTACGCCAAGATTGAGCTCGATTGCGCACCTCATTTCTGCTGCTCAGCATGCCGCTAAATACTAATGCAAATACTAATACTCAGAAAAGCTATCTTATCGTGTATAGGTACCTCATCAGAAAAGCGATATTTTTTATCGCGATGCATGAAAAAGAAAGTCACCACACAGTAGAACGTTCTGGTAATTGTAGCATATAGGATAAGCTACTAGGGTCCCGGAAGGTTGCTCTGTATCTGCATTATTAAAATACATGGACAAAATAGGGCTTGATAAATTTTCTTTATCGGCATTTCAGCCATAATACATCAGCAGGGAATCTTACTTCCTATCTATGCGACCTGAGACGCGCTGCCAATAGAGTCTGAAACGACCAGTCAAAATTGCCACTTTCAAAGGCAATGTTTATATTGCAGAACCTAGTAATCGTAATGACCATTCGCCAGTGCACATGAATTAACCCTAATGCTTTCATTTCATCGTTTCGCCACAGAATATGGGGGAACCCCTGCTAACCAGCAATCCCCTTCAAGATTCCTTCCATATGTTGGCCATATAACGCAGTTGAATATTTCTCACACGCAGAACACATCAGCGGTGGGTTAAACCTACAAGTATGATGACGTTACCGTGATACAAAGGCACTTAACGAGCTTTCGGAGATAGCGAGTCAAGTCATAAAGAAAAACTGAAGAGGTGTAAAGCTGAACTCGGTCGCCTCCTCTGTAATTGGGATGAAGATAGGAGTCTGGAAGATCGGTGGAGAGAAGTTCATACATTACAGAAACACATGCACAGAATGCGTTCATTGACCAGTTTGTCACATGCGGTCTGTTCGGCTGGTGCACCGCAAGAAAACCAGTCTGAAACCCCTGGCAATCATTCAGCTGCAAATATATATAAAGTAGGATAATCCGCAAAGCCCGTGCTATGAATACGCTTCAGAAAAGCTGCACTTAACAGCATTGATAGCCAGATTAGAGGGTAGATGACATTATTTATGTGAAATAGTAACAGTTTTATGACACAAGTGTGTCTTGATGAAGCGTTATAATGGACGTAACGCTGTTTCTTACAGGCTCTGCGCTGGATGTATACCTTAATGTCAAATGTCACTTTCCGGTTGATGGAACGAAGCGTAAATTTAAAGGCTCGTTTTTTTCTTTAGACAGAAATTAATAATAACTATCAGATATTAATGCCAAGGAAAGAAGAGGGGATGGTATGAGTAATAATTATAATATAAATGTGGAGAAAGAAAAGTGGACGGAAAGATAGCGTTCCGCTAGCTGGGACCGAACCTACCACCTTCGAATAAAGCCTCCAATGCTTGATCAACTGAGCGACGGGGTGGTCATCTCTCCGTCGCCTTCATAGGGTATATATGTGCCTTTAAATGTGGGAGCGTCAGTCAGTGCCGCCAGTAACCATTGCGGCAAGTGTGGTACACTCGTTTTTGCCTGTTGGCATGACGTGGCACTCGCTCTCGATTGTAGCTTGTATTTTCTATTTGTTTTTTAATAACATGCCTATTGATGTCTTCAATAATTATTTACGAAATAAAGCTTGAAGTGCAAGCTCCGATGTGCCAAACAAGCGCCATAAACAATTTAGGCACTTGTCCGCATGAGATATGTTGTAGATTTAGTACATCGATGTATACAACAACGTTCACCCAGTAACTTGTAAGCTCAGCGACAGCTTATTTTCGCTGAACTAAAATGGCAGGGGTACCGTAATATTTTACTCAAAAAAAAAAAAACAAGTAAGTGGCGACATCCGTCTCTAGGGCACCGCATTCGCGATTCACAATTTCAGTAAGAGTAGGTGGCAACGGCGCCTGTAGCGGCAACACAGAGCACTTTGACCAAAAGAGCTTGAGCAAATAAAGAGAAATGTAAAATCTAGATGACGAAGACAACTTTAAGCACCTTCCAGGCTGGTTGAAGACAGCAAAGTGCCAAAACGTAAGGCATGCACTTCCCACCCAGCTGGCGTCCCACGTGGAACTGGTAAGCACCGCCTTCATGACGGAGTCGGTATGCTTGTTTTCGGCGTACGTGAAGCCTCCTGGAATAGATAGAAATACGACATTCTTCTCATGTTCTGTTTTTTTATAAGTTCATCGTTTTTTACAAGTAAGGTCGAGTAGTAGACGACCCAGGATACATGTTTACCGCCTGTGACCAATTCGAATACAGGCTCATTTTACGCAGAACTTTCATGCTCGACCTGGCGCCACTGGTGAGTAGATGTGAGTGAAATAAGACCATTTTTCACTTGCTTGAGGCCAGAAGCGAATGCCCAAAATTCTTTGAAAATTTTGTGCCACGGGTCACTCCAAGTCTAGAAAAAAGCAATGGTGAATAACAGCATAACTTGAAAATAGGCAAGAATGGACAAGAAACTGAATAAATAATTATAATATAGTGGGTACAGTGTGAACACTAAATGAGTTGTAAGCAGAGACGTAAGTAGTAACGTAGTGGCCGGATAGGTCTTCCTTAGCTCCCATTCTCAGAGATGAAAGGAAAGCCACTAATCCCCATTAAAGATTGCGCAGTCATCTCTGTTTGGCGCCCAGTAAAGCGGAATTCTGTTAGAAGACGATGGCAACACGGCTGCATGAACTTAGGCATGTGCTCTAGAACATCATGGCTATGGTGCAATTGTACAAATTACTCGTTCAATGCAAGCGCAAGAATTTGTTATTCCAGCTGCTCCCCCACTAGCAGCCCAAGAGAGCATGTTTTTTAGAGCCGGGGATTGGTTTGCCTAGCACCAACTTGTTGCATTGATAATGATTTGCAATAATCACCGCTGTTTTGACTAGGTGGCATCTGCACCACGTACGCACTAACGAATCAGTCAGGGCAGCACGCTTCATCGAGCGCCCAGGGACTAGCTTCATTCGCGGATCTTGCCTACTGCAGCCGCGAACACTATCCGGGCATCGGACGGCAGGTGAATACTTTTAAATGCGGAACATGTTATACTAGGGGCTAGTCTTGCGCCGTCGCCGTCCGCAGCCTCCCCTCATTCTCCGCCAGCCATCTGTGAATCCCTTCTTCCTCTCAACACAGCGCGCGATGCGCTCGCTTCTCCCCTCCGCGCGCCGCGCGACCTTTAGTTTTACGTACGCCAGCTGCATGCTAACGCGCGCATGCGCAGGCCGGGGCTGGCGCTCGCTATAAATAAACGAGTGTCGGGGTGCACCGCCCTTCGTCGATTGGTTTGTGCGGTCGCTCCACGTCCGATGTCGCTGGTGAAAATGTATGCCGCCGTGGAGAAAGTACGTCGACGAAGCCGTGGAAGAATACCTGAAACAACGACCGCAATGACGACCCTTCGTGATAATTGGCGACTTCGACGTCGACGTCATCAAGGACGATTGTGTGGTCGACTACATGGAGTCGGGGCACCCGCTGAAACGAGCAACGCACCACGGCAAGCATAATCTGACCACGGTTCGCGGGACGTGCATCGACCACGTCTTTGCAAATTTCGACCTTCGACCGCTGCAACCAGACCCACTCACCCTTCACTTTACGGACCATAAAGCCATCTTGCTCAAAATACCCAAAGCGTCTCATCAATAAACATCGTCTTTCGCAGCATACGTGCGTGAGTGCTCACTCATGTTCACTCATAACACACACGCATGTCGCAAATTACAAACCACATTTATCGCAGTTCAACATATATGCTCCGCATGCTAACCAGTGTTCCCACTCGGAAAACTGCGGTCATTTTTATAATAGGCTCGAGCTCCGTTTGGGTTTCGCTTGTGCCACGCCAAGGTATCGTGCTCGAAATTTCAACAACGTTTGAAACTCGTGTTCCATTAACCTTTTTTTTCTCTTGAAATACATTTTCATGATGCATCAATCCCCACAAAAACTTTGCCTGTTTCCGCCGGTATAAGACACTACATTATACAGTTTAGCGCGCAAGTAATCGGGGTGGTTTGCTAACGTCTGTAGCAGACGGCCATGACACTGGCCGTATAATGACGATGCTAAAATAGCGTCGAAGGCGCACCGCCAAAGGCTCAAATATACGTGGCGACAAAAAACTGCCGCTTCACTGTGTTGATGCCAACAAAATCTGTCATCGTGGAAACGAGACAGACGCGCGAACGTTTCGTTGTTGATTGTATTAAACGTAAAACACAGCTCCGGTAAGAGTGACAGCCGCATCGCCTATTGGAAGGGCACGTATGCAATAAAGCACTGTCCGCTGGTTGTGTGGGTCGCGTAAGCCGCCGACGTGGTATATAGGCTAATAACCTTGACCTACACGATGCAAAAAAAAAAAAAGCTGGATGCGAAAGCTTACCTGTATTCTAGCGCATGTCCATGAGTAACAGAAGAAGCATGTCTAGAATCGGGTGATTCACCGGTTCAGCGGAACGAATTCAGTGAATAGCAGAGCGCACCGTTCCCGCGACACATATATGCTGACGGCTGCACAGAAGTCCGAACTGAACAACACGGTATTTCGCTCACATCACATGGAGGGACCCACGGAAAATAATAATAATAATTGCTAGGATTTTACGTCCCAAAGCAATAATATGATAATGAGGCACGCCATAGTGGGCGCTCCGGAAATTTCGACCATGCTCTTCAACATGAACTTACATCGCACAGTACGTGGTCCTACAGCACTTCGCCTCCATCGAAATATTACTGCCGCAGCAGTATATGGAAAATACATGAATGGGGAGAGTGTTAACGCTTCGTACCCTCTGATGTGCCGTGGGTGTGGTCTCGGTCGGGAATGTGCGGCTCTCCCCAGCGGAGGTGGCTCAATCTCCAGTAGCCAGTAGCGCCCGAAGGCTCTGGAGCACTTGTCCAGTTGCAGAGGTGACCACCATCGAAGTTGCAACTTAGTTCCTTCCCTGCGGTTAGAGTAGTTCGCGTTTGATGCTGGCAGCTAGCGCGCAGCTGTGCACTGCCAGTTAGCCACAGTGTTCTTGTAATTTTTTTTTCATAAAATAGTGATTCAGTGGTTGTCTTATACAAACTTTTTACATAGCAATTAACTACCACAAACTCTGATAGCACAAACTTGCTACGTGCGCGGAAATATTGAAACAAAATGGGCGAAAAGCTTGCCACGAAGAGGCCGCGCCATATAGAGGCTTGATAACTACGCTGATAGCCTTTTTCGTTTAAAACCAGTAATGCAAAGCAACGTCTGTACTTTTAGTGTACTAGGTGCACTAGATGATTTTCATTATACAGACCAAAGACGCTGGCAAGGATCATTAATAATTTTGTGCGTAACAGTATCAAACGTTCATGGGGTCCTATAAAAACAATTGCGGTGCTGTAAGAAACTCTCAAATGACTAATTGCATGATCGACATAAAAAGCTAGCACATGTCGGTTGTGCAAGGGCAGCTGTGAATACTACATACATATTTCAAACATTGACACATATGCATCATGGTAAATTCTCTAAAGATTGTTCAGTTCACTAACATTGCTTCAAAAGCTATTGATAGGTGACCGACGTCATTCCTGTGTCCACCAAGCGCCCTTAAGGGTGCTTGGTGGACACATGTATTTGGGAAGACGATAGGTGGAGAATGAATATAGTTTAAAGTTTAGTAGCTACCGTAATATTAGGTTTTATAGTGCTTGTACTTATGCGAGACAAGATCATCTCCCAGATTTTTCTCTAGCACGACGTTATAGAGGAAACCGATATGCCTTCTTTCGGTACCTTCGCGCTAAAGAAAGGGCCACTAATCATTCTCACTTTCACGAACTTTGCTTCATATTGTGGTCTTTTGCGAAGGGATGAACTGGACACTTCTGGACGTCAGTTTGTCCATTTGGTTCACTTTTTCTATAAGGTTTTCTTGTCCGCAGAGATATTTATCGCTAAATGTTTCGCTATGTGCCAGCAACCTCACATTATAAGGTGCAAATGTTTAAACATGAATAAGTCCCTCTATCGTGCAGTTTGTCGAGAAATGAATGCCACTTTGAATGCACTTGGTCGGAGTGTATAACAGTATTAGCGTGCTAATTGTGCTGGTGTGTGAACTACTAAGCTTGGACTTAGGACAAAACTAAATATAGACGAGCTTAGGTTTGTAACTGAAGCAAAGCAATGTATTATAAACTAAGCGGCTTTAAGCGCTCAACAAGGAGCCGCTAATGCTCTAACCTTTCTTGTCGGTGCATGCGTGAACTTCGACGTCGTCCAATGCACAATACCACGAGCTGTTTCGAGGAAGTTCGACGTAGCAACGAAAGTGAAGCTGCAATTTAGAACAAAAAAATTCAATTGTTAGCGTATACTACGACCAAGTAATGAAACAGCATAGAGCACGTGCACAATTATCTTGGTCTCACTAGGAAGCGCCATGGAAATCAAAAACACGTGAAGTATCATATGCTCCTGCCTTTATTTTGATGGGTTTTCGTGAACTTAAGGATAATATGTGTTATTGCCTATGAAACAGCAGACGCTGGTGAAATTGCGTAAGTCGAGCTCCCGGAAAAGCGTGATATTACAGAGAAGCAGTTAAAAATAGCCTTATAGTTGCACATACACGGTAAGCAAAAGCAAATTTTTGTTACCACAATACGAACTACTAGCTGATAGTGTTACTGATTGATGTCACGTTTGTTTGACAGCACACTTGGCACATATTGTATCGACCACTGATGTAGATGACATTAAAGATCTGTACAAGATATGTGCAATACGTTTCTGTAAAAAAGCGTATAGCACTTCAAGTATCCAAATTGATACTTTGCATATAAAGAAGCGTACATAGAGTTATTTATGTTCGTCAATAATAAACTGTTCTCAATACGCTTCTTAATATACGGCATGAACAGGCTAACGCATACAAACAGTTGGACGTAGATCCTCGACATCCCTAGTTCTGTCAAACGGGATTTTCGTAGAAGGTTCACGAAAATCGAGTCTATTGGAGGAAAAAAAAAGGCATTTTGCTTACGATGACGTCGTTAGCGGAAAGAGTTTGCCTTAGACGACCTGGACAAAGACGTTACCGGGCACGCGAAGCGTTCTTTGTGTGATGAGTGCGGTGAGTTTGACGGGTTGTTAAAGATGCATAACTTTGAATTTTTAGCGCAACAAATACGGATACAAAAGGAAGAGACGTAAACAACACGATCGCTCATTTTTCTACGTATCTTCCTTTTGTCTCTGTATTTTTTGAGGTAAGAATTTTAAGCTATGTTCTTTGTGTGCTGTATACTATCATTCGTTGTGCGAAGGTTCAAGCAAAAAAAAAAAACCGAAGTGTTCTGCAGTGTCTTAAACAAAACAAAAAGGCTCAATGGCCACTTTACTTTAAAGAACACGCGTGTGTTTCTCAAATTTAACATTACACTACATTCATAGCGCAGCCGCCATGGCTGATTGCTTGATATCCATCCTTGTGCATGGCACAACTAATGCAACATGCACTGAAAAGCAATGACCGCTGAAACAGTAGCGACGTAGCAGTTCCAAGCACTATTAGAGTAAAATATATACATACCATATACGAAACACACACACACACACGCACACGCACACGCACACACGCACACGCACACACGCACACGCACACACACACGCACACACACACGCACACACACACACACACACACACACACACACACATACACACACACACACACACACACAGTGTCCCCGTGACAAGAGAAAACAATAGGTAATTATGGTGTTCAACAAAGGCAGTACATTTAAATGAGTTAGCGCACCAGGTTATCTCACGAACAATGATACCAAGACTCATGCGCTAGGTTTTATGCAGACGCCTATATGGATCAAGTTTGCCTATTTCTTTGCTATGCATGCAGGGCGCGGGTTCGAATCCCGGCTGCGGCGGCTGCATTTCCGATGGAGGCGGAAATGTTGTAGGCCCGTGTACTCAGATTTGGGTGCACGTTAAAGAACCCCAGGTGGTCTAAATTTCCGGAGCCCTCCACTACGGCGTTTCTCATAATCATATAGTGTTTTTGGGACGTTAAACCCCACATATCAATCAATCAATCAATCAATCTTTGCTATGCATGGTTAGTGCTTGCATAATGGTAATAGATTTGCGCAGTGTCTGTTTAGAGTTTTTCGTGTGGCTCATCTATCATATAGATTCGGGCTCATCCAGGCACAAACACATGACATTATAAACAGGAGGAGTGCATAAATGCACACAAATATCTTTTCGTGGTACCCCGTGCGATACTCAACTTCCTGGTTAAAGGTCAAACGGAACACAAGGTAACGTATGCGTATTGCGAAGCCGTGCTCGGCGCTCACCTCATGATTTCCTGGAGCCACGAAATCGACTTCCGCTGGCATCCAGGCTCCGCTTATGAGAGAACTGTAGCCGACACCCCAGAGCCATCTCCTGTCTGCGGTGGCCACAAGGTCAACATATTGTATATATATGCCTGTGAAACTTGCAACAGAGTGAACGACACAACCGACACCTTCAACACGGCCCTCTCTTACCATACCCGTATACCTTAAAAAGAAGTTCCGAGAATGCGCTTCTCAAAATGCTGTGACCACCAATGTGGCCAAATTTTCGTTGTAGAAGTCTGGGTGATTCACGAATAACCATAAGCATGATTAACGACTTCTGATGCGAGCAAAAACAGCAGTCCAACCGTAAATGAACCTTGCTTTAAAGGAGTGTTGAAATACTTTTTACATGGCAAAAAACGCACCTGATCTCCAGACAAGACCTTCTCAAAGTGCATGGTATATAATATGCGTATTGTGAAGCCGTGCTCGGCGCTCACCTCATGATTTCCCGGATTCACGAAATCGACTTCCGCTGGCATTCAGGCTCCGCTTATGAGATAATCGTAGCCGACACCCCAGAGCCTTTGACAAGGTTCAAGGGATGAGTGTCATCCCTTGAACCTCATCCCTTGAACCTTGTCAAAGGGAACACTTTTACGCCAGACAATTTTCAGCCACATTATATTTCTTTGAATCAGAATACTGCTGATCCAGCTGCCGTGATACTGCACTTTTGAGGCGTCGAAACAGTATACCGGCGTCCGAACACCAGAACGGAAACTTAGTGGCATATAGCGCGAAGCAGCCAAATGCATCTGCACTAACCAGAACCTTGCTCGTCGCTAGCCGAAGTGGAGCCCGTGCTCAGTAATAGCTCGAGTCCACTGTGCGAGTTCGGCACTGGCGCAAAGTAGAAAAACCTGATGCAGCGACTGCGTTCATCTGGAGACGCGCTGAGTGTTGGGGACGTGAGCATTCCCGAGGCTACGGTGTTTGCCGGCACCAGCAGGCTGACGTAGCCACCTGCGGAAAGACCAGTATGAAAAAGAGTGACAAATAAAAAAAAAAACACGAGTGATGTGAATTGTGCCACACTACGACTCCCACGCTACAGAAAGAAAAGTGCGACGAAGTGGGTGCAGCAACTCTGGGTGTAAAAGTTGCTGTTTCGCCGCTGTTTCCCGAGCTTTCACCTCCGGCCTAGCTTGCTGTCTGCGTAGAAATTGAGCCACAGCATGCCTTGGTCGTGGCTCTGAAGTAGCAGCTTGTTGGCGTTGCCGCTCTGCCTTTCACGGGCGAGAGTGCGTTTATGATCATTTCCATCCATGACAGAAAGAAAATGTGTAGTCTAGAACGCCCTTATTCTTCATCGTTTGTTTGTTTGTTTTTCCTTCAAGCCTATGGCACGTACCCACTTTGTGGATTTGACCAAGAATGTGTAGTTGAAAATGTAAATGGTTTTTCGAAGAATGTTTGGTGATAAAAAAACTAAATAAAAAACTGAAATGGGAATAATATGTAATAAATTAAAATAAGACTACAAGTTATCAGCGCCTTCGTCATTGTCACGACGTATAATGGGTAATTTGCTTGTGCTGTGCCATGATAGCAGAAAGAGAATGTAGGTGTAGATGTAGATCCTAAACGTCTGGCTCGTACTCTCCCTGGGAGATTGGCAAGAATCGGGTAGCTTAGAAAAAGGAAATATTTAAACCCAAGAGAAGAGAGTAATTTCTCGTTTCGCCCAACAAAAGTTTTTTTTAATTATTCTTGGACAGAAAAGATGGCATATCCACGAAGTAAATGATGATGAGTGGGTGAAGCAATGGCATCATTTGGTGTTACCTTAAATCAGCCATTAGCATTGACCACTCACGCACGTAAACGAGTGACAAAGCGGTGTACAGTTATATACAATGTCTACTGGTCATAAATGGTATATTTGCTTGAGTTGTGAATTTAATTTTGCCCTCACTTTACTGCCTTGTTGTATCAGATCTAGCATGACTTGCCAAAGACGAGGCCTGTCCATGTTTCCTTGGTTCTTGCTGGTTGTTTGCAGTCATGCGAAATGCATCGTGGAGCATATTGAGACGTCATATACTGCACAAGGAGTCGTCCGTGATCATGATCGTCATCATCTTCATCGTCATCATCATCATCTTCACCATGGCTACGGGACATGCCAATGTCGCCAAGGACAAGCCTCGACTTTGAGGAGCTTCGGCTCTAAAAGAACGCGTGGTCTGCTACGCGCTTAATCTTCATCGTTATCAGCATCTTTGTCATCGTCATGACATATATAGTGGGTACCTTGCATGCACTGTGCCGTGATGGCAGCGTCATTGTCTTCAAGTATCATACAAACGCGCTTATTCTTCATTGTCATTCTAATGGCGTACAGTCGGTACCTACCTGTGCCGGACAAAGGACAACGCACAACGGACAAGCCGAGACCCTATAAGGTGTTTCGTCACTAATAGTGGCCTCTAGCGGTCATTATGCGCACTGAAATTCAACCAAACTCAGCGGCGAAACCGAAGCACCGATGAGCACCTCAACTAGACGACCACAATCACGTCACCATTAAAGCCAACGATTACATATGGGTAGTTATTCCGCGTTCATTAACATATGTGCGTCATGCGTGCTATTATTACAAGCGCAGCCCCCGCAACCTCACAATCAAGTTGTTTGGTGGTTGATATAATGGCGCTGACTCATTATGGACGTCTCAGAAGCATATGACAGTTGCGCTAATCCATGTCTCGGTTTCAGTCTCGCCGCCCAATTTGGGGGAATCTCATTACTCTGCAAGTGCTTCTAAAGGCCGATATTTGAAAATGTCAATAGGTTCTTCGCACAAAGTACTTCAATTTTGCCTTGAGCATAACCAGCTAAGCCCACTAACTAAAAGGTCAATTATTTAGCTTTGTTACCTATTATTCCAAATGACGCATGTAGCCACCATCTTAAGATGCCGGCGGCTACAGAAGCAATTGTAAAGTCATTGAACAAATATCGCTTTTCCCTGATTTTCCTGATGATTGAAACAACTTTTTTAAAATACCCGGTACTATAATGTACAATGTTCAACACATTTATCTAGGACGATGGAGTCTCGCACTCGAAACAGAATAAGCGATGTCTGCAGTTAGAAACGGGCCACTCCTGAGCGTGCGCGGAGTCAAAGATGTGCCTGCACATCGTTGACACCGCGGTTTCCGACGCGGTTTCTGACGCCTACAGTTTCCGTCTTTATTTATCGCCGTGGCCATGAAAACTACGTGTTTTGGTCATGATGGGTGCCATAAACTGTGAAGTGCCCCCCCCCCCCCCCCTCCAAAAGAAGAATGGTGCAATCACTTGAATTAGAGCCTTTAATGCTATGAAATTCTTTTTTGGTTTTTGTTAGCACATCAGACCGAGAACAGCTCATTGCGTTTTTTTTTTACTTAACCGTTGAAAGCGCTTTCGACGGCAAAAGTGGTTGTTGCATCCGCGCTGGTAAGCCAGGACATAAAATGCAAGGGAAGTGCAGCGTTAGCACCGACATGCTCACATGTGGCATATTTACTAGTGTAGATGTCACTCGTATGATTCCGAGCATGACGCGTCGTAGCTCTAGACGAGAGAACTGACTACTGTACTTGTACAGGTGGCAATACGACCCTTACAACAGCGCATAAAAAAAGGCCTACTTTTAATACCAGTTCTTTATTTCTAATTATTTTCGGCCGTGCGTAAACAAATACTTAACAATAGATGGTTTAATACGTTAGAACATGATGGAATAATTTCTGGTGTTTAACGGGCCATCACGACAGTAATAAGGGACACCGTACTTGGGAACTCTAGTCACCGAAAATCGAAGTACGCATGTGTTTTTGCATCTCATCCCAATCGAAACGAGGTATCCTTGTACGGGGATAGAGCCCGCCTCCTCGAGCTTAGCATCATGACAGCTTACCTGCGAAGCTGCCACGGTGGGTCCTCGGAATACGTGTATGTATAAAACGCACAACCATGGTCATTATGATAAATGCTCTGCCATGCACGCACCCCGTATCGTGTCGGTGGTGTGGTCCAAAGCCACAGCCTTGTTTCTGCTCGCTGATCGGCCAGGTGGAATTCTCGTCCATTTGGTACCGCTCTTGTCGAGTACGCTCTCGTAGCCACACACAGATCGGTCGAACGAACATGAACCGTCGAGAGGGTCTGCCAAGGAGAATGACACGAAAAAAAAAATACGTCAAAGGATGCGACATAGTCCTTTATTTAACCGGCTTGCACAAACCTCTGGTTAGATATACTGATATCTGAAGATAATAAAAAACTCTAAAAAAGTGAAGTGCTGAATGCTGGTACGAAAAAGTAGAGATGTAATAATGTAATAAACACCGTTCCCGAGTGTGTTCATTGTCAGCGGCTGAACCTTTTATTAGAGGCAGGTGTATGTTTACGGTGTGAACCGACGATTCTATGTTTTTATTAAAAATTGTGGTTGACCATTGCTTTAGAAATTGGTATCAGCCCAGAGAACGAACACTGGCGTCGCTGCAGTCGCGGCGATGTGACGTCTCTCGCCTTCTACGCCGCCGCTTGTCTTCTTTTCCTGCGCCCGCCGTGTACCCCCTCCATATAGCGATACGTTGGTGATTGCTCCTCAAGTGCGTGACGCAAATCTCACAAGATACAAAATGAGAGGTTTCACAATTAGTGAAAGTAATTGATCCTGTAAAAAGTTTGCATAATTTAGCTTACTATAGGCAGACTCGTCCGAACGGCAAGTTTACTGTGAAATTTGTTGTTTTCGTTGCGTACACCGAAAAATGGGCGCCATGGGAAAATATGCTAAGTGCTGCGAACGTGATTACAACCTAGGCATAGACTCCGGCATGGGAACCTAGGTGTGCCGAAGTATCACAAGTGAAATCAGGATGTTTTCAATATATAAATACATTGCGCTGTACCGTGAAAGCTGCATCTGCTAATAATCAAAATTACTTGACAGAATTGCGCTTTCTCCAACGGGCGATTTTATGTGAACCAGATTGTCATGAGCACGAACTTCACATATTCGGAAAATAAACAAAATTGTACTGCCACACATAACAATTTCGGAAATGTTGGGTTATGTCCGTTTACTCGGATAATATACACATGTTTCTTCTCAACAGTCTCCAGGGATTGTGTTGTCGTATACTTTGACTTGCGTGAAATGCTGAGGTGATATACCACTGCGTCTCAAACAGTTATGCTAATTTCACATGGGAGCACCGCTAATAGCAATGATTCCGACAGAAATGCCAGGAAGTAGAAATGAACATTTTTGATGGCGCAGTCAGTGACGAGTAATAATGAAACAACTTTCGCCTCGATGAGGTGATGGCTGTTCTCATACGTCATGTCCATGTACAGGTAATCAGCTGCAAGAAAAATTAATTAATGAGGTGGACATCTAAACTGATAGCTACGAGTGTGACAGCACCGTTGTGACGAATATGCACGGAGACAGAATCTGGCAGCAATGAGAATTTCCGTATATAACCTCAACCGCACTTAACCCCAATAATTTCGGTGAAATGAAGCTCCGAAATTATTGCAAGAGAAACATGAAACTGAACAATGTGTTGAGCGAGAATGTACACGAGCAAAACAGACACAACAGCGGCGGTGGCAATAGGGTGAGCGCACACGAGATATTTTGCGAGACTCGATAATGCAAGCGAGCGTGGTTCTTGGTACACCAGCGAAAGCAGTGTCTGTAGATATGTGGATTCTTCCAATGCAAAATATCCTAGAAGAGGGAAGCCCTAATATCTTGTAGAGGAATCACGCATGAACAGCTTAACCTATTAATGTAAATATTATGTCTTGCGTCTCAAATTCACATGATTACGTGCCACTGAGCTTGTTGTGTCCAAGCAGAAGTGTGTTCTTGCTTTTCATACCCGTTGGAATGCGGCTGCCATGGCCAGAAATGTAACCCAACATTGGGGTTAGCAGTGCGACACAGACCTTTTTACCCGTTTCACATTGCCTATAATCGAGCACGATTTTGTGCAGAGGCAAAAGTAAATATTTATTGTTTTACCAGGAAAATTACTGATTATGTTTTCATCAGATTCATCTGCAGCTCGAACCGAGTGCAAATCAAACGCAGACAGCAGAACAGCGCCCGAAGCGAACGCATCTTTATGTAGGCGCGCTGCGGCCTCCATCGAGGAGTCCGTGCCGTGGCGTCACCGAGGCCTCCCACCAGGAGGCACTACTCCAACATCTCGGGGCTAGTAACACCAACCTGAAACCTGTCCTCGCAGAGCTAGCTGGACATTCATTTTGCATCGTTTTGCTAAAGGGGTGAAGGAGTGAATGCTGCGGTAACAAATTGCAATGTCGCGTGAAGAACGGCAAGCAGCTTGAAACTTGCAGCGTACACGTCAACCAGAAAGCACGCACAAAATGAGCATACACATGACGAGTGCGGATAAACAAATGTTACAATTCCTCATATGTGAGCAGTGCGCTCTTTACGTAAACGCGGCCACGGCAGCGAGTGAATTGGCGTTCCGTGCTCTCTTTCGCTACTGTAACTTCAAAGAAATCTTGCTGTGGAACACCAAGAAGGACAAAGCACCCAAATCCCGAGATAAGCGCGTGCGCGAATGAGCCACCCCGCTAAAGTACATCTATGCGCACTTTGACCACACCATGTGGAGGCGCGTGCGCACAGTGACGCGCGGAGTGGTGCGGCACAACGATCTTTACATTGCGCGAGCCCAACGCAAACCCGTCGTGCCATCTCGCTGCTGATCACTAAAACGCACTGAAATTTCCGAGCTCTGAGGACCGCAATCGAAACATGGTGTATAAAGATTGCTCGTTTTTAACTTGTCACAGAAGCGTCGATCTCTAGTGTAGTGGTTAGCGTCGCGTGCTGAGTAGCGCAAGGTCACTGGTTCGAGGCTGTGCAGTGGGGCTCTTTTTTTCCCCTGTTTTTTTTACAATTTCTTCTTAAATATTTCACGACGCCATATCTACGACGGAAATAGGTCATGAAGCCGTGGTAAACACCGGAATAAAACAATTTCGTGTTAAATATTAGGTGCTATGTGGTTTCGCGCGAATGTAAGTTCACATGGAAAAGTTACGTCTAGGAACCTGCACTACATACTCACGACGTTACTCTACTGCAGTTAGACGCGCGCACGAGTTTATCAAACTTCATCGTCCGCACACGAACGACTTCATCGTCCCCACATCAGTGGCACAATAGAAGCGGGGCACACTAAAGTGCCCAATGAACCTGCAATGCTTCAAAACGAGTAAAAATATTGAGTTACCTTCGGGGCACGAACCAGGCATCACACTCAAGTCATCGACACCGACAGATCCATTAGTGAAGTGCCAAGTTCGAATCTCAATCTGCGTACAAAAATTGATGGGTTAAATATTCCTACATTCACTGACGACTAAGGTAACAAAATTGGTGTTCATTTGGTCAAAAAGAAAAACGAAGATACAAATATTTTTCACGTCATGTTTCTGAAATGCTCAAGTTACAGGCTTAGGCACACTTACCTTGGGAATCGATGTTATGCGAAGTACATGGATGGAAAGTGACTGTATTGTACTATTTTGTTGAAGAAGCCAATAAAAATATTCACGAATTGAAAATAGTAACATTAATGACTGACAAAGAAATAATAAATGAACAAAACGCCATATTTTCTCTTTTACAGGATGTTGCAATCATAAATCTACTACTGTAACAAGTTGCCAACAAAATTATCTATGAGCCTGATGTATACTTGAATAGAAAGAGCAATAATGTACTCAAGGCACGACAGGCATTTCTTCGAGCTTCCTTTTCATTCACTCCAGCCGCTGATTACCACTATAATGGTGCGCGCACGAAAATTCCGCCGCGTTTTCTCACCTTCATCTTACCGCTACGGTCTTCGTGGTAGAGCACATTGTGCCAGAGGTCAGGATGAAATGAATACGCCTGGTAGAAGACGTGCTCTTTCTCGGCTTCATCCACATACCACTCGGCATCCAACTGGCGTGAAGCCATTTCGATGCGTGGCAGCTTGAGGCCAGACACGTGTATCCAAGCCGAAAAGCAGAAGGGCCCCATGGTCGACAACTCTAGCTGGGCTACTGATTCGTGCCAGGAGTTCTTGGAGAACTGAGCTCGGCTGTACCAGCCATCACCTGCGCCAATATAAGGGCATCGCTCTCGATATTACAGAACGGAGGGTGGTAGAAGAATGGGAAGAACTGGATGACCAAGCAGGATCATGCAGAATCTACCAAACTTTTCGTTTGTAAGTGACGTTGACCATATGGCTGTCGCCTTCGCTGATACTATCGTGTCCAGCATCATAGTCACACTACCTTCTCCATTAAAGCAGCCCCGCATCAGAGGTAACAATGTTGGGGCACACTGTGTCATATCGGATCCGCTGTGTTTACACACAATGTAAATAATTGTTCATTTAACGTAAATTATTTCACGATTTAAATTTTCACTCCGAATAGCTTTGCTTATATCAGTGCCTTATACAGTAGTGTAAAAAGTACGTGGTAATTAAGCTAGTACATCGCGAGGTCCCTGTAGTCTATGGTGCGGTTATTAAACTATATGTCTTTATTTTAAAGAAGACTACCTCATGACACAAAAAATTAAACATAGGTATTCAGCCATCGACCTTTTGCTGCCACACAATCTACTTTGAATGAGTTGTGATTGACGTTTTTTAATGCGTTGCGCAGAATGTTAAATTTGGTATTTATAGGATCAGCACAGCACAGTGTAATCTTAAAATCAGCCACATAGTTGAGTTTTCAGCATCTGCGTTCAAGAGACCGTGACACGGTCACACAACTATTTGTAGTTATCAGCGAAAACTGGAAGTAGAGTATCTATTAGGTCAATAAAAATATAAAAATATGGAAAGTGGGCTGTAAGAGAATCGTTTACGGCAAAACAGGCCCTAGAAGTCAGTGGCTGGAAATCCCGCGCGCCACCTGCGACCGCCATTTTGCAATGGTGCCTGTGACGTCACTTGTGCGAAGGGCGGCGCCGTCGTTTTCTACTTCGGTTTAAGCCGCTGCAAATTGTTAAATTTCAGTGCAAAGCAAAAGATAGCTCGAACAGCCCGATTGACGCACAGATGACGGTGGAAGAATATTGCTCGCTGGAATGTAGAAGTGTGGCAGCTTGGGCTAGTTGGTATGGCATGACGATAGTTATAGCGCGAGAACAAAACGACGACACAGAGACAAGAAGGACACGTGTCTTTCGTGTCCTTCTTGTCTCTGTGTCGTCGTTTTTTTCTCGCGCTATAACTATCGGAATGTAGAAGCTTGCAGAGCCAGCTGTTTGTTTCTTCGCGGCTCACGAGTGCGGCAATGTTGCCCGACTCTGAGGCCACTAGCGTGTTTGTAAATATATCTAATTGCACTTGAAGTGCTCGACCAAATGCGCTAGCATTTCGCCAGCTTACTTTTGAATGCTAAAGGAGTAACCCTCATAACCCGTATTATGATCAAATATTGGGTGTAATGGCTTCTTTAATACTACGTGGGAAACACATCAAGCGAGTTGGTTGACACGGTAGCTTAAATAACAGACGGACGGCAGGATGCGATTTGACAAACGTTGACGTCACATTCGTGAAAACTATATTTTATTCGAGGTACTGATGGGCCGAGAAAGCTGCTCTTGAATGTCGGAGAAAGCCTTGCTTCATTGCCGATATTGTAATTAGTCGCATCAAGAGCAAAGAAATACGCTGACATAAAAGGTTTTCCGCGATAGATGCAATTAACGTTGACATAATATCTGCACCTGTCGACTGCTTATTCTCTAGTTACTGCGGCAGTAAAATTATTAAGACTGCGCATCACAATATCTCATGCTGCCACAAATGTAAAAACGTAGGCCTCTCCCATGCCTTCATAAGCATTTTCGTCGTGCGGAAACAAAAGCTATGTTATAAGAAATTCCGTTTACCATCTGCATTCACATACATGTGGCACCTGCATTCATATTTATGTGGCTATAAAGACAGACATCTTCGCTGTGCTTTTGTTTGTTCAGAAGATATTGCTTTCTATTGTTTTTTTTTCTTTTTTGATAACATAGAAATGAGTAGCTGAGGCACTTCAATCTCTACAAAGCAAACAATCTCAGATCAGAACAGGAAAGAACGGAACAAAACAGACGAGAACAGAAGCCGATGTTGCTTCCTCGTGCAATTATGGCTCGAGCAAGTAACGGAGATCTGACAATTACAAAGACGAACACAGCAGCCACGATAGGTCGGCGAGCTTACTCATGAGACGACTAACTCTGAATCACTCAGACTCAGATCTGGTCATGAAGCCTGAGTCTGAGTGAGTCTGATGTGGAATATTTTGGTGAGTATGAGTTCGAGCGAGGCCTAAGCGCTAAATATAACTCAAGTAAGTCTGAGGGAGCTCTGCAATTTCCATTGACCTATGGCGGCCGCAGACACTGACCTCTTCCGGTCGTGTGATCGACGGCGGGTCCCTCGTCTGCCAGCTTTGCCTGCACGGGCACGAAGCAGTCGTCGCCCTTGCAGTTCGAATAAAAATCGCAGACACCATGCTCGAAGTCGCATTCAACGTCGTCAGCGCCTGCATAAAGACGTTTATGTCACAACTAGAAACTACCAAAACAGGCCAAAATGATGCCAATAAAATGAAAAAAAAAAACAGGCCTATGCAAGGTCTGGCAAATAAATATAGTTGCACGAGGCTCCAAGAAAATCGTGGTTTCGTGGAACGTGTATGCCTAATATTATCGGCACTGTTATACAGTGTATGAATAAACGTTCTGATATTCATTCACTTCCGTATACTCTGGTGTTTTTTTACATTCTCTACACATTTAAAGTCGTTTTTTTTCTGTCCTCATCCTCAACGAAGGCTTTGTAAAATGCTTTTTTTTTCCACTGAAGGTATGATGAGGGTGAGTGTTTTTTTTTTCATCATAAGTGTATGATGTTCTTCTTCTATTTTGCTCGTTTATGGGTTGTGGGAAAGCTTTATTGCTAATTACATTATAGATATTTTATATACGCATGTGTTGTACTATCTTTTTTTTTCTACATATTCAATTTGCATACCGGCAAGGCCTTTCTTCTGCTTTTGTGCTGTTCCACGCACACACACACACACAAAAAAAACTCAAATCAAATTATCACGGGGCTTGAAACAACAAAGGCTTTTTTTAATGTAAAAGTATTTAAAAAAAATCAACTCCGACATGTAGCACCATCCTTCTGTTGTATTAGCTGTGCTGATTGTAACAATTATACATCATGTCGTAATAACGTCATCATCATCGGTGAGTGCGCTCGAGCCGAGTGGCGCCTAGAACGCGCGTAACGTGCGGAGGTTAAGAAGATGAAGACTGCCACTGCTCGGATGGTTGATTGTTTTACGGGTCGTCAGAGTCGCTTCCACGACAAGATGGACGACAAGACTCCCGCAACCAAGAGTCGGCCACCGTTCTGGCCAACATGCCGGTACAACCATAGTGGTCTGCCACCTCTGGGAGATCACCAGAGCTTCGTGGGAAATCACATGTTGTACTGAGGAAGCACCCAAAAGACTCACGAAGCCATTGAAGCGATCTCAAACGTGGTGGCGAGATGTCATCGTGGCTGCCTGGAACACCAATATCAGGCCTCGTGGCTGGGCCCTCAATTGGTTTCTAGCACGGAGTTCAAACCAGCTACAGACGAAAATGACATGGACAGAGAGGTGGCCGTCGCCAGATGCCGTGGTCACGTCGCACCAGCCAATACGCGACAACTCTGTGACGGGGTCGCCATTAACTCGGAACCATCGCTCAACATCTTCCCTCAAGCGTTCATTCGACACCTTTCCGAGAAGCCAACGACCAAAAAGACCTCTGAACTCCCGGAAGTCGTCTCCGGTGACGGGATGAGAACCGGGGGTAACAAAGGGCGAAGGGATGTTTCGTCCGCTGATGACATCGATGTTAACGACGAAACTCCAAAGCCCAAGACGACGCGTCTTGAAGTTAAGGAGTACCAGAGAGCTCAACCAATGGACGCTTTCGAGATGAGCACCACCCCGCAAGCACACGCTGCCGAGGACTCAAAGAGCAAGAAGAGCGGTGCGAGAAAGCCCATGGTTTGTGGCCATCCGCACCATGCCGCCCGCTTCAAGGATGGATGGGTGGTATAGAAAAAGACGAAGCAAGAAGTCAAAGGCTCAAAAGATTGTCTTGGGTAGGCTTACGCTTGAAAATGGTGTGCGAGAAATATCGACTTTGCGTACCCAGCACATCAACCGAACGTAATTTGATCTGTTGTCGTATGATGACGATAAAATGTTCGAGGAAAAACAAAAATAAGAATAAAATGATAGAGAGAACTAAATGTTGAGGGTAATTTCCACCTTTCTGGACACCAGTGGTGGCCACTGTTCGCCGGCCTTGATCCCGAAGACCCCTTTGGGTCAGCAAATCAACTTGAATGGGAATAGCCTTCCAAGGCTCCCCCAGCTTCGGTAGTTTATAAGAAGCGACTGTGCCTCTGAAGGTTTTTAACAAATTTCCCATGTGACGTGTTGCAACGCCAGTCTCGACTAGCACCACGGACATTGGTTTACATATATATTAGGCTTTATGTTATGCAACCTTTCCAAATGTGCATAGGTGTTAACCTTAATTGGTCTGAGGCGGTGAGATTCGTCGACTTAAAGTGGTTTGTGCGGTGGGACATAACGCTGCCTTGCCTTACGTAGATGCTCCAGTATATCGCATGCAGTGTGAGCTTCCTGCCAATTGTTGACGCAGTTTTTCACTGGGTTGCCTAAATAACGAGCGAAGTGGTGCGGCGTGCTCATTACCCGAGACACAGTCATGGCCTGGGCACCAGAATATGGCATGGTAGTGTGCCAGCTGCTTGCAGAGTATTCTCTGGGTGGCATTCGGCAGTTCACTGGTTAGATACATTCTGCAAGCTTCCTTCGTATCACACATGACTTGCGCGAATGTATTGTGTGCCCCTTTAGTTCTAAAACCTAGCGTAATTCCCACTGGTTTCATCGTTGTGGTACAGGTCATTTTAACTGAAGCTGCTCGAGTTTTAGTAGTATGTGGCAGTGGTTGAACTGCTTCTAAGACGCAGCTATGGCTTGAGTTTGCGGCATGACTGGAGACCATCTCGTGACCCTGGCCAAACTGTTTTTGAAGGTGCCGTGTTGTAGCTTGTCTTTTCGTCCCACGGAACAATTTGCTGATGTTTCGCAAAATTGGGCAGACGTTTATTATGTGTTAGTGTGTTTCCTTAGCCATAATAGTAATTTTCTCCCGATAGTATTATGATCCAAAAGAGATATTGAGAATAAATTGATAGAAAGACAGGGAAACGGGTATCCCAAGCGAATGGGGGTTTTTCTGCATACCTTTGTTAAGCATAGTCGTTCCTTTTGAGAAAGAAGTGGTGTGGCCAGAAGAATTTCGAAAGTGAATCTCTTTAATTAAGTGAATCTCCCCGCATGATCAAGTGAATCTCTTTAATTTTTGCCGGTGTGAACTCCTGATATGGTTGGTTTATTGGTTGGTTGTTCCTCAGAGTCAAGGCGCAAGCCACAATGGGGGATCTACCGTGAAATGGACGGTACCTCGTCTTTGCAATGAAATTGTTTTACCGGACGGTATTTCCAGATGAGGATGTTTTAACAAAGAACATATTGGTAAAACATGAAATAAAAATAGAATAAATAAAGGAAATAAAAAAACAAACCCCCAACAAGCTGTAATGGAGTCCATACGTTACTTTACTATTGATGAAAGACTGTACCATCGCAAAGTTTCTCTTTATTCAGTCCTCTGCCCTTTTTTGTTGTCCTATGAATTATTCGAGCTGTGCTTTTTGTTGTTTATTTAATAACTTTATACGCGTAGCTTGTACGTTTGTTGTTTTGCAGCCATACGCCCAATATTCTCATCGTTCGCCCTGCGGTACCAATTGACCTCCTATGCTTAGTTATATGGCTGGTTTGTTTACATAATTTCTGTCATGAATGAAGATGAACTCTGCTTTTTCTGGTGCACCTGCCACGCTATTTCCTTGAGAAAACTCCTGTTCTGTTTCGTAGCGTTTTATAAGAGTACCTCCTGCTTTTCGGAGGATGTAATCTAATATGGCCGGGTCGCGTGGCTACCACTAAAGCTGTGGTGACGGCGGTGATAGTAATGATGAGGATTATGATGATTAGATGGTTGGCACGTACCTTGTAAATTTAATCGGCCAAGAGTGGGGTGGGTCTTAGAGTCTGGATTTATTAATTTTAATAAAGTGTTAACATGGGTTACTGTTAAAATTATAATAAAGCGTAATTACAATGAGTTCTAATTTTATTTTTCACTACTTTACGCATCATAATGAGAAATGTGCTTTTCACTAGGACGACACAATGTGCAAGTATCTGCAGCTGATTGAACTAATGAATCTATTTGATTCGCATGGGAACTTTTCGACAGCATTGAATATAATCCTGTCCAACCGTGCCAACGCAAATGCCCGATATGATAACAGAATGGTCGACGTGAATGGTAGACCCAGTTGCCGCACTCTAATTTCAATATTTAATTTTGTGTGGAAAAAAACGTTGGCCATTCATTGCTCCAGCTTCGTATCAAAAGAAGGATGAAGGAGAGATTGCCAGCTCTGTACATGTATATAAACCGAGATTTCAGATTTTACATCGCCCTCTTGTAGTTACTACTTCTGTCCTTGTTTTACACCAATACCTGCTCAAGGGAAATGAAAGTGGTGATAATCCGGCGATGAATCGAGGATTGAAGTAAGCATCGACAAAGCATACTTTCTCAATCTGACCACAGAGAAAAACTCCGTAACTGGAAGGAGAGCAAGAACTTGGCCTGCAACGAAAGAAGCCTTTCCCAAAGCGCACACAACCTTATTTAAAAGTATCCCTCTTTATCCCAGCACCCAAATTATTTGCTGGTTTCGCAAATGTTGGGGAACGGCGAGCGCAATACTCTTAGAGCATGCGATTTTCTTGAAGGTGGTAGAGCTTAACATAATGATAATGAATCTGGAACTATAGCTACCAGAAGTTACAGATAAGAGAAGGTTAAGTAGGGCGAAAATAACCGCTAAGAATGAAGCCAGATTATCGGAGTACAATCAGGGAGTCTTACAGAAAACGACCAGTCTAGTTGTGTTGCGAAAATTCCAATCCTGGCCATTTCTTCACACTGTGAAACACTAGTTGCTACCACGACCGTCATGGCAATCTGATTTAAGTGATCCCGAAAAAGACCATTCAGTACATTCCAAGGAAGTAACTCCGCATTGTTCGGATATATATCATCATATCATATAGCTGATTCACTGCACCTATAATGTCTTTACCACAATAACTTTAGTCTTTATCTGTAAGTGGTCTGATAGCTGCTGGGTAAATGTTATTGGCGTAGTATGAAAGTAAGGCCACAAGACAAAAACAAACGAACAGGTTTAGTAGGCTAATCAATATATATTTGTCTCGTCTTATTGGTGATTCATGAAGGATGTTTGAACTGTTATCATTTTGAATCTTATAGCAAAACATAGGATTCATGATTCTCT